CCCCTCTCCCACCTCTTCTCTCCCCTACTTCCCACTTGCAGGCAGTCCCGTGGCTTCTCCCGCATTATCCGCCTTCTCTGCCCCACTGCCAGCCCACAGTGTTCCGAGTGTCCCTGCCGATCCCCTCGCCTCCACTCTGTCCCCTCCGTGTCCCCCTCCATGTCACACTGCCCCGGGATGACGGTCCCACCTGCAGACCCGGCGGTCAGCTCCCAGCACCTGAGCACCGCCGTGGCCTGGCCTGGGCTCAGCGCACCCGCACCCCGCCCGCCCCTCCCGGATGGTCCGGACCCCAGGGGGGCTTTTCTAGATGCCACACTTGCTCCACTTCAGGCCTGCTGTGCGCACACCCCACCCAGGCCCCGCCTCCCTGCTCTGACCCCAACACACAGCTCTAGCACAGCCCTGCCTCTCCTCGGCCTGGCGGGCCCCCTGGGGGCGGGGACGGGCTGGCTCACTGCTCCTCCTGAGATCACCTGCCACTTCTCCACTGAGGCCCCCTTCCCCAGGTCCTCCTCAACTCAGGCTCTAGCAGCAGGCCAGCCTAGGGCTCTTTCCGGGTTCGGGACAGGAGCCCCAGATGTAGATCCTGTTCCCGAGTGAATGCTCACCCCTCAGCCCCCCTACCTGGACACCTGACTCGTATTTGGCTGCTGCGGGTGGGAACCCAGAGCCCACTGGCACCTTCTAGAAGAGGCAGAGGTTCATAACTATTGCCCTTCTCCGGAGTCCCTGAACACAGTGTGTGACCTCCACGGAGATGTCCATCGAGAGAGGGGACACGGCCCGGCCAGCGTGGCTCAGTAGTTGAGCACTGACCTACGAACCAGGAGGTCTGGGTTCAATCCCCAGTCAGGGCACACGCCTGGACTATGGGCTCCTGCAGGAGGCAGCTAACTGATGATTCGCTCTCATCATTGATGTTTATCTCTCTCTCTTACTCTCCCTTCCTCTCTGAAATCAATAAAAATATATTTTTAAAAAAGAAAGAGGGGCCGAACCGGTTTGGCTCAGTGGTAGAGCGTCGGTCTGCGGACTGAAGGGTCCCAGGTTCGATTCTGATCAGGGGCATGTACGTTGGTTGCGGGCACATCCTCGGTAGGGGGTGTGTAGGAGGCAGCTGGTCGATGTTCCTCTCTCATCGACGTTTCTAGCTCACTATCTCTCTCCTTTCTTCTCTGTAAAAAATCAATAAAATATATTTAAAAAAAAAAGAGAGAGAGAGAGAGAGAGAGAGGACACACTTGGGCCCCCAAGCTCCCTCCTCACAGGAGCAGCCCGTTCCTGGAGGCTGTGTTGGTGGGACATTCCGCGTGTAAACGGGTGTGGTGCCTGGGCAGGTGTGAGGTGTGCGGGTGGTCACAGGCAGAGGGGGGAGGACTGCAGGAAGGGACGTGTGTACTCTGCCAAGGATCCCAGCGAGGCCCCTTCAGCCCGGCAGTGTGAGGTGCTGGCCAGGAGGGGCGGGTGGGCACGCTGGGCCCAGCCTCACGGCCGCCTGGCCTCTCTGTTGACTGCCTCAGGGGAAGACGGACGTCCTGGAAGGACCACGATTTTGAGATGCAGCCGCACGGAGCTCCGGGGCCTGGGACCTCCTCCTCCCAAGGCAACCTGCTGGGGCGCCCTGCCCCCCCCCGCAGGCTCCCCGGGAGGGTGTCCCCTCTCACCCCTGTCCTCAGGCAGACCGTCCGTCTGGATGCCTTCTCGCAAAGCTACATCCCACACGCCCCCGGCCGGCTGGGGCTCGGAGCCCGGGCCCAGAGCGTGCTCCCGCAGGAGACGGACAACAGGCTCGGGTCCAGGAAGCTCAGCTCCATCTCCTTGACGCTCCGGCCCAGCAGCCAGGCCTGGGAAGAAGTGCCCGCCCTGGGCAGGGGGGCTGCTGCCCACGGAAGAGGGACGATGCCCACTCCAGAGTCACCGTCTCTGGTCCTTGTGCCAGGGGGCAGGGTTCACTCTGGGGGCCCAGGGAACCCAGGTCTGGCCAGACCCAGCAGGATGCCCGTGATGGAGAAGCCGCTGGTGAGCTCCCACCTGGCCCTCCCTTTCCAGCCCCGGCTGGCCCAGGATCCACCAGGCCCTGCAGGCCCGGCGGGTCAGCGGCTCCCTGTCCCAGCGGCTGCCTCAGCGCCTGCCAGAGCTTCCCAAGGAAGAGGCCGGCCCAGGCCCAGGGGGATCCTGAGGCCGCGGCTGCATCTCCAAAGGGCCAACCCTCCCATGGCGCCGGCGACGGCCATGGATTTGGTGGCTCTGGACACAATGAGAGGCACAGTCAGACACTCAGCCACAATGGCCACCAACAGCTCCAGCGTGGCTGTCAACTCAGCCACATCAGACACACCCAGACTGGACACAGGCACAAAGTTCCCTGCTCTGGATGCCAAACTGGGCACAGTCACAGAAGAGGCTACAGAAGGCACAGCCAAGCAGGGCCTGGTCACAAATCCGGTAACGCCAGACCCAGGCAAGCTGGGCAAAGCCATAGCCACAGCAGGCACAGCCAAGCCATATGCAACGACAGGGGCCACAGCCAAGGATTTGGCAGCCCCAGACCCAGCCAAGTTGGGCACAGCCAGGCCAGACAGAGTCCTGGCTTTGGACAGAGCGGAGCCAGCCAGGTGGATAACTACGGGTTTTCCTGCTTTCCACACAAGCAGGCTGGGCGTAGGCATGGGTCCGGTCCTGCCGGCTCCCCTAAACCCGGCCATTGGAGGGGCCACACTTGACAGTGCCATTCACCGGACCACATCGGACACTGCCACTCACCCACCGATGTCAGCCAGAAGCACTGACACAGCCCCAGGCCAAGTGACAACAGATGCTGCCACAGACCCGGCCAGAAAAACCAAAGGTAAATGCAAAGGACTTGGCTGGGATGCACTGGGATGTTCTGGGCTAGTGGGGGGAAAGGAGAGGAGGGGGGAGGGCCTGGAGACAGATTACACTTGGATAGGTGGGAAAGGGGGTACTCTAAGGTCAGAGTCAAATGCACTGTGTGTGTGTGTGTGGGGGGGGGGGGGCTGCAGGGCAGACCACAGGGGATGCGCCAGGAGCTGGGTAACTGCCAGTCAGAGTCAGGCTGAGGGCAGTCGCCAGCAGGAGGTGTGTGGGGTAACTCGTGGAGGATCCATTGTGCCGAGTCCTTCCTTCAGCATCTTCCACTCCCGGAAGCGGAGGAATCAGGGGATTGATAGGTGAGCGCAGCTGTGAAGCAAACCACCTACACAGAATCACAGACCAGCACGGCAATCCGTGGCGATTGTCTGAGATTTGTCACTGCCGTGTTCCTCCAGCTGTGAGCAGGGACCTCCCTGAGGCTGCCGGGTCATTGGGGTCAGCCTTGCGGGCAGATTCCTGCTGCTTAAAGGAGCCTCACCTGGAACCCTCCCTCCCCTTCAGTCCTGAAAGGTGAGCTGGGAACGTGTGCCCACGGAAGACCCGCGCAGAAGGGCGATAGGCGGACAGGAGCAGAGACCGCCACGGGGTCTCAGAGAGGCTGTGACGTGCTCAGTCCTGAGCTGGCTGGCGGCGGTGAGTTGAGGAGGAACCCAGATCCTGGGATTCTGCTTTGGGCATTGCATTCCCAGCATCCCCAAGGCTCAGGGCGTCTGGATCCGGTGGATGCTGGGGAGGCACCCCTGGACTTCGGGGCCAGACCCCTTCCCATCATGCCGCACACTGGGTCTGGGGGAGCTCACCCAGCTTTCCTCTCCAGCCCCCCTCCGCGCCCTCAGCCCCCCTCTCTCCTGAAGTTCAGGCTCCTCTAGAGCTACCCCTGCCCTGCCTGGTCCGGCTCTCACCCAGAAACCTGGGCGTCCTCCCCCCATCCGGTCTATTCCCAACGCTGTGCATTTACACCCCCCTCCCCCCAACTGTCTGCCCGCCTGTCCCTCTGTCTGTCCCGCCTCAGCCTCGCCCCAGGGCGCTCCCTGCCGCTCACAGCTGCCCCTGGGACTCGGTGATGGCAGCACCCACAGGGTAACCGCTGGGACTCACCATTATCCTCCCTCCAAGTCCCGCTCCTTACCCTGGCTCCGAGGCTGCGGCCTCCCGGCCTCCCCCTGCGTCCCTGCTCCTGGGGCGCTGAGCCTCCACCCGCCTCTGGGCTCCTCACTCCGCCGCCCCTCTCCCCGAGCCCGTCCTTCTCCCTCCCGCCGCCTCCTCCCCATCCCTGCCCCGCCGCCTCCGGGAAGTCCCCCACGCCCTCTCCTCAGGGTGCCCCCTCCTGCCCCACGAACCCTGGGCATGCCCAGCCCTGCCTCGGGGCCGCCCAGCTTTCTGCCCCCCGCCCCCGACCCGATCCTGGAGGACGGGGATGGTCACCCACTCCCGTCCCCCGGGCGGCGCCGCTGCCCTCAGCGCCGCTCCATGCGCCGCGGACTTTCCCGCCGGGAACATCGGGGCGCGGGGAAGCTCCCGTGCAGCGCAGGGTCCCGGGCCCCCTTTCCGGGGCCAGCCGGGACCGGGCTGGCTCCGAACCGCGGACAGAACCGCCGAGCCAGCGCCAGGTCCAGCCGCCGCGGCCACCGGTCCCCGCGCCGCCCGGCCGGGCCGGAGAGAGAGGACGGGAGCCGGTCCGGGAGGGCGGGGCCGGGATGCGGGCACCTCCCCGGCGGCACCTCCCTGGCGGCACGCCCGCTGCGAGCGCAGCGCCCCGGTGCCCCGTGCGGAGGCGGGAGCGGGCGGCGCGGGGCCGCGGCGGGGGCGGGGCTCGCGGCGGGGCGGCGGGTCACGTGGGGCGGCGGCGGCGGCGGCGGCGGCGGCGGCGGCGGCTCGGTACGCGGGCAGAGGCGGCGGCGCCGGCGAGCGGAGCGGGGTCCCGGGCGGGGGGCGGCGGGGGCGCAGGGCAGCGCGGCGGGCGCGGGCCGGGCGGCGGGCAGAGCGCGCGGAGGGCGAGGCCGGCTGCAGGGCGGCTCGCCCGGGAGGACCCGCGCCCCGCTCAGCCTCGCAGCCCCGCGCCCTGAGCATCTCCCGGGAGGACCGGAGACAAAGGAGGATTCATGTCCAAAGGTAGGCCTCCGCCCGGCACCGGCACCCGCGGGAAGGGGTAAAGGCCCCCAGAAGCCCGGCGGAGGGGCCGCCAGGGGAGGGGGGCTGCGCGGGGAGCCCACGCGCGGTGACAGATGCGCGGGCACACGCACACCCGGTGCACACGCACACATGGTGCACACACCCCGAGACATGCATTCCCGGAGAAATCCGCCCACGGGAACCCTCCGACACACGAGTGGGGGCCCAGACGCGCACAGGGAGCACACCAGATACGCACACACACGCACGCCCCGCACAGGGATCAGCCGCCCACACCAGAGAGACCTGCGCGCTCACACACGGAGGACCCTTCCCCCACCCCCGCACCCGCCGGTGGTCTCCCAGGGAGCCCGCTGGCCTCCGGAGAGCCGGGGTGGGGGAAGGGGGGTCTCAGAGCCCCTGGCTCCCGCGAATAGGAGAGGACTCAGACGCCTTTTGTAATTCTTTTTCCGAGAGTGGGGGCTGGAGGTGGAGTGGGCTGGAATTTGCCTCTGCGGGTGCGGGTGCGGGTGCGGGTGCGGGTGGGGTCTGGGGGAGATCTTAAGCTCAGGAAGGAAGGAAGAGCCTCCCTACCCCCCACCCCCCTCAGCGGAGGAGGCAGGTGCTCTTCCGGAAGGTCTCCTCCCGCTGCTGTCACCTTCCCAATTGAGGGTGGGGTCCCCGTGCCAGACAAAGACAAAGACGCTCATTTGCCTGGAACCGAAAGCGCCAGGTGCGGGCCGGGCAGGTGACGGAGCGGCCGTGTCTGTGGGGACTCAGAACGGAGTCAGGTGGACATGCCTCTCCCGCAAGCGCGGGTGGAGCAGGTGGCTCCTGGCAGGGGGTGCCGCAGGCAGATGCTCCTCCTCGGGGGCGCCTCGGGGGGCTCCAGGAACCATGGAGGCAGGGAGCCTGCGGGAGCTCTGTCCTGCTGTGGCCCCATCCTGAGTCCTCTCCCCCTTGTTGTGGGGGAGGAAGCAGGTCTTTTACAGTCTGCCCCCCCCCCCCCCCCGCCGGTGACCCGCACAGAGCCGGGTGCTGGCTGGGTGTCATCTGCTCTGCTAGAGGAGCTTCTGAGGGAGGAGAAAAATGACATCTGACGCATTCATTCATTCATTCATTCATCATTCATTCATTCATTGCTGGGGACCTGTGTCATGCTAGGGACATTGGGGCACAGCGGTCAGTATTTGTCCTGCACCCTGGAGGTCTCTGTGTACTTGCCAGGTTCTCTCAGCAGAGAGTGGGCCCTCGGGGGCAATGACCTTGTCTGGGGTCCCAAAGTGTCCTTGACACTTAGTCTAGGGCTCGGCTGGAGTAGGCTCCCCTCTGACAGCATGGGGACCGGCCTGGCAGGGACGGCTGGATTGCGTGATGCATGAATGAGTGGATGGGATGAGTACGGGGTGGCTGAGGGAGCACAGGAGGGCGCCTGTATCCTGCGGGGGCAGCCCATGAGCTGACGGGGAAAGAGCAGGAATCACCCGGCCTTCCCGGGGCCCCTGGCTGGTGGTGGTTAGCATGTAACGGATGTGTAATTGGCACGTGGTGGGGGGACCTGCCAGCTGGTGCTTTTCTCAGTGACACAGTAGGTGTTGATGGGGACTTGCTGGGAGGAGGAAGGAGATGTCTGCTCCCGTGCTGGCCCTGCCGCAGCCCCGCCTAGCCCCCAGGAGTTGCAGGGAACCTGATTGGCAGGCCCCTTCTCTCAGCCAGGGTCTGTCTTTGGGGAATGCCCTTTCTGGAAGGTGCATTGATGGCCAGGGCTAAGCAGGCTGCGGTGAGGACACCCACTTTATAAGGACACTTAGAAAAACTCCCATAAATAGGTGCCAGACTCACTTTCCAGGGTGTCAAAAGGGCTGCCTCTATCTCTCACAGCACCAGCTGGGAGACCCACGGGGCTCAGCTGAGAGGCACATGGGAGGTGGAAGGCCCACGTGTGAGCAGCCAGGCAGGAAAAATGGGGCCGTGGCCCCAGCGCAGGGTGCTGACTGGGAGCCACGTGTGGAGACTGGGGCACAGGCCGGCGGACAGTCAGCTGCTGCGGGCTGAGCCAGTCTCCCGGCCAGCGCCTGGCGAGCACCAGCTTCCTGGGGAGCAGGAGGGAGCCCGGCCAGGCCCCGGGGAGGCCCGGAGCTTGGGCAGAGTTGGCTGTGACTGAGCGCGACAAGGAAAGAACATTTTCCCGCTGGGGGGGAGAGCCTGGCCAGGACCCAGGAAGGACCAGGTGGTGGGGGATGAGAACAGACTCCTGGCTGGGTTTGGGGTACATGAGGGCAGAGCTCCCACTCTCTTGCCCTCTGGCCCACCGGCTGTCTCATCAGCCCCCCTCCCCTGAAGCCTGAGCCTGCGGGGCAGAACCACCCGGTTCTAGAATGGCAAACGGGAAGGGGTGCTGGAGTGAGGGCAGGGTCCAGTTAACATCTGGATCCCTCCCTTGGACCCGTGCTTTCACACGCACCACTTCACCTCCCCTCTGACAAGTGAACTTGAAAGTGGGAGGGGCAGGAGTGGCTGGAGCTGGGAGGTGCTGTGTGGTGCTTCTAGGCATCTTCTCTCATGTAGTGCTCACCATAGCCTTGACCATGATCCCAAGCCCTTTACAGACGAGGAAGTGGGCTCCTGCGGGCAGGTGTCCCGCCCAAGCCCACAGAGCTGGCAAGTAGCCGAGCCACACTCTTCCCGCCGAGCCACACACACCCCACCTTCTGGATGGGGAAATGGGGCTGCTGTCCGAAACCTCGCCTGGTGGACAGTGGTCCGATGGGGAAACGCCCAGGACCCGCCAGCCCCCGCAGGATGGGCCTTTCCCCCGCAGCAGGCTGTCCCCAGCCTCCCCTCTCCTCTGCCACCCGCCATCCCAAAACACACAGCGCCGCCTCAGGCGAGGGACTGCCCTCCCTGCGTCTCATCCTCTCCCTGCTGGTCCAAAGGGGAGACCTATCCTTCCCACAGATTTAAACCTCCAGGGAGGAGGGTGCCTGAGCTCCTCGGGCACAGACACCCTGATTTGCAGTGGGCACAGCGGGGCAGAGGCTGGCAGACAGGCCTGGCGCTCACGCTGCAGGGGCTGGCCTGTTTGCTTCTAAAGGACAAAGCAACGTGGCCAGTGGCAGACATCAGTGAAGTGAGGTCCAGCGCACTAGCTGGTCTTGGCCCTCTATGTGGGGAGGCAGGACTCAGGCCGGAACAACTGCAGACAGCCCCCCCGCAATCCTCATTCTGCCCCAAAGGGTCAGACCCCGGGGTCAGACACCCACATGTGCGTTGGAGGTGGCCCAGCAGATGGAGAAGGGTCTGGTCCAGACTTCGCACCTGACTTGCTCTGTGCCCTTAAGCGAGTCCTTTCCTCCAGGCCTCAGTTTCCTCGTCTGTAAAATGGACCCGCAGCGGATGCCCTCTAAGACCCCTCCCAGAGCCCACCCCATGTGACCCCGTGTTGGTGAGCGGCACCGCGGCTCCCGTGCGGCCCCCCCGGCCCACCCTCCGTCTTGGCTTTGCAGGGCTCCCAGAGACCAGGACGGACGCGGCCATGTCAGAGCTGGTGCCCGAGCCCCGGCCTAAGCCGGCGGTGCCCATGAAGCCCGTCAGCATCAACGCCAACCTGCTGGGCTACATCGGCATCGACACCATCATTGAGCAGATGCGGAAGAAGACCATGAAAACCGGGTTCGACTTCAACATCATGGTCGTCGGTATGGAAGGCCGCGTGTCTCCCCCCCCTCCCCGAGGCCCGGGTGGGGGTGGCACGGAGGATCCCGTTTCTGTCCCGGGGATGACCTCGGCCCTGGCCTCTTTAGAATGAGCTCCTTCTCGGAGGGAAGGTTTCCCTGTGATGATCACAGAGACCTGACCCCCTCCTCCCTTTCAGGCTCACTGACCCGGGGCGGGAGCTGTGGGGGCGGTCAGCCGGGCCCATCACCAGCTGGCAGACACAGGCAGCCTTTAGCCATGGCCAGCCTGCTTTCAGGTGTGTGCATGGGGCTCATCAGTGTCCTCCCCCACCTTCGAGAGCTGGGGGAGGATCAGATGGAGGATGATCTCATTTCTTTTTCTTTTTTAAAAAAATATTTTTTATTGATTTTTTTATGGAGAGGAAGGGAGAGGGAAAGAGAGTTAGAAACATCGATGAGAGAGAATCATCGATCAGCTGCCTCCTACCAGGGATGTGCTGGCAACCAAGGTACATGCCCTTGACCGGAATCGAACCTGGGACCCTTCAGTCCTCAGGCAGACGCTCTATCCACTGAGCCAAACCGGTCAGGGCAGAGGTTGGTCTCATAAAGCTTAGGGCACTGAGCAGTGGCTAAGTAGTGTCACCAGGTCACAGAGCGATCTCAGGGAGGCACTCGGTCAGTTGCTGGGCTCCATCCTTCTTCCTTTATGTCCTGATCCAATCGGCCAAGCCCCGTCGGTCTTACTTGTAACTCTCTCTCAAGTCTGTCTACTCTCCCCATCGCCACTGCTGCCTCCCTGGCCGAGCCAACCCCTCACCTGGCCTGCCTCGGCCACCTGACTGGTGCTGCTCTGAGTGGTTGCTAGGATGGTCCAGATGTGTGCTGGGCCAGAGTGCAAACATCTGGAAAACCGTGCTATTGTAAACATCAACTAAACTGAACGGTGTACTTACTGACATAGTTGACAGTACTTTCTGGTGCAAACTTCTTCTCTCAAGAACCAGTAACAACTGGTTCATGGACCCTGGCTGCAAGCCACGCATTGACCCCCTCCTGTCTCCCTTCCTGTTCAATCCATCGCCCACCAGTATCTTTTCCCACTGTGGAACTCATCAAGCCACCCCTCAGTATGGTAAGTGTAAGGGTTTGAACTGCTAGGTTGGCCTGGCACTGCCTCTCAACACTTCTCTTACCATCTCCACGTAGCATTCTCCTCACAAGGGACCATTCTCCGGACGTTCCTGCCATACTCTTTCCTACCTCTGAGCCTTCGCATATGCTGTTCCCTCTGTCTAGAAACTCCTTGCAGCTTCTCATGGGTCATCCAAATTCACTCTTCAGCTTTCGGCTTAGTTATCGCTTCTTCCTAGAAGGGAAACTGGATTCGATTCCCTTCCGTTTGCTGTTGTAACACCCTGTGGTTATCTCCTTCGTAGTAGTCATGGCAACACATTGTAATTGTCTGTGTATGTTTTGGCCTCTCACATACTAAATGAATGGGTCCTTGAAGGGAAGGATGACACCTCACTCCCCACTCTGTCTCCAACTCTAGCACAGCACTTGGCACACAATACCTAGTGAACAAATGACCTTAGAAAGCATCCGGGCGTGAATGGCGAGCACGAGACGTGTGGGCCAGCTCTGTCCCGGGCAGCGCCATGGCAGACACTGCTGCTGAGCCTGGTGTGCAGGCTGAGCCCCGGTGTGGCCTCTTTAACATACGGGGCTTGGTGGCTACCAGCAGTCGGTCAGCTGGAATGGGAAATGCAGCTTACTGGTATTGCCATCCCTGGTCTCATTCAGTCCCTTCCCTCCCATCACGTATCAGTAAGGAAACAGAGGGGCAAACACGGCCATCCCCAGACTCCTGGGAAACGGAACAGCTGGGTCTAAAGCTCAGGCTCTGGCCCCTGATCTCACACAGGAACGCTGACTCCTGCCCACCTGACTCTTCCGGAAGCCCGTTAAGATGCCGATTCTGAAAATGCCAGGGCTGGGGGCGTGGGGTGGTTGGGCTCCTGCGTTTCCTCCCAGCGTCCAGGTGATGCAGTGGCTTGCTGTGATCCTTGTGCGCATTAGAATTTGAGAAGCACTGCTCAGACCAGGCACTTCAAAGGGCTTCAAATGCCTTTTGGTTGTGGAGCGCCTTTTCATCTGCACCCCGGAACGAGATCTGTAGACATTGCGTGTAAAGGGGCAGAGGGGCGCCAGGGGGAAGGAGCGGAGGTGAGGGGCAGGCCCTGCCCACCCAACATCTCCCTCCGCTCGCAGGGTCCTCTCGGGCACTTATCTCACCAGATGCTAACCCTGCGCCAGGGTGAAGTGTGGCTATGGGCCAGGAGGCTCCTTGGTTCAAGGCCCTGTCTTGCGTTTTTGAGTTAGGTCGCCTTGCACCTCTGTTACATTAAGTGGGGCTTAATCTCTCCCGCACCCCTTCGGCGGGAATTGAAGGCAGCTCTGTTGTGGGATTCTCGGGACTGAAGGAAGGCCCGATGTGAAAGTACCCATGCACTGAGGCCATATCGGTGCCAAGCAATTCCGCCATGACTTCTTGTATTAGTGAAGACGAAAAACTTAAGCAAAACGCACACAAAGGCAGAAGTGGGCCCGTTTTCTGCCGGTCCTGGGGCTCCAGAAAGGAGTGTGTGGGCTCTAACAGGTTGGCCATTCTCCCGCACACAGGAAACCATCACCCCCCACCTCCCCCAGTCTGCAATCCCCGCTCAGCCCTTCCTTCCCTGTCAAACGGCGTGGCCAGCCCCAGAACTCTGCAAGCTCCCGGAGAGAGAATGGGGCTCAGGACGCGGCCGTGGGGGCCCTGCCTTCTCACCCCCTGTCTTGCTCAGGTCAGAGTGGACTGGGCAAGTCAACGCTGGTCAACACGCTCTTCAAATCCCAAGTGAGTCGCAAGTCCTCCAGCTGGAACCGCGAGGAGAAGATCCCCAAGACCGTGGAGATCAAGGCTGTGGGGCACGGTGAGGGCCCGAGGGGTCCCCGGGGCGTTGGCCAGGGGGCCTCTGCCAGGAAGGCGGGGGAATGGGGCTTCGTGGAGAGTGAGGCAAACGAAGGCAACCTCCACACAGAATAGAATTAAGCCCTAAACTCTGGAGCCAGCTCCTCAAGACTACAAGGCCAGCGCGGGGAGGAGGAGGGGTGAGAAAGGGAAGCAATGGGGCTCAGGCTGGACCCTAAGGCCGGCGTGGGGTGTGGATAGGCAGAAGGAAGCAGGGAGGCCATTCAGGTGCAGGGAACAGCATGACAAAGGGGTGGAGGTGAGGGAGTTGCCGAACTTGACTCTTCCAATAGTTGATCATAAGATTGAAGGACCCGGGTCTCCCTGGCTGGGGTCTCCCTGGCTGGGGGGCGGCAGGGCTCCTGCACCAATTGGAGGAGTCACCCCTGTCCTCTCCTGCTCGCCCCCCAGTGATAGAGGAAGGCGGCGTCAAGATGAAGCTGACTGTCATCGACACGCCGGGCTTCGGAGACCAGATCAACAACGAGAACTGGTACGTATCTGCCCGTGGATGTGGTGCCCGCCCTCCACGCTGAGGGCTCCCCGTCTCCTGGAGGATGGGAGAGGAGGCTGCAAGGAAGCAAGGGCAGAGGTCTGGGGGGCTGGGTGAGGGGGTGGACGGGACAGGGCAGAGGGGATTTTGGCGGAAGGATGGTCTGGAGGTGGTGGTGGGGCCAGGCAGACAGGCGGAACAAGGGGACCTGGGTGCAGCCCAGGCTGTGCTGAGGCGGCCGCAGGCTGCTTGGCCTGGCCAGGGGAGGGTGAGTGAGGAGCAGGAGGGAGGAGAGGGGCCATGAGGAGAGAGCCTCTGGGATCCACAGAGCAAAGCAGCAGTCCGAGTGCCACCAAGAAGGGATGAGGACCCAGATGGAAGGTTCCAGGCAGGAGTTTGCTTTCAGAGAGGCCCGGAGACCTCAGGGCTCCTGCAGGGAGCCGGGCCCTGTCACTGCCAGGCAGGGCCACCCAACAAGCCAGCTTAGGACAACCTTAGAGAAGCGAGGGTTTACGCATGCTCCTTGATGCAGAGAAGTCATCATGACAGTGGCCGTGGTCATGACAGTGAGTCGTCGCCATGACTGAGTACTCCTGCGTGCACGGCTATGTTCTCTGCTGCACACCCTTTCTTTCTGATGCTGCGTGCACCCGCCGGTCACTGCTATTGTGAGAAATACGCAGGAGAACGCAGCCCCAGAGAGGGCCAGAGCCCCCGGCTGAGAAGGAAGAGAGCTGGGGCCGGTGTGTGATGCCTTCTGGGGTGCGGCGGGCTTGCAGGCCGGGGAGAGGGCCAGGTCCCCGTGGGAGCGCCAGCCTGGCTGAGAAGGAAGCCATGGGGGCCGAGGGAGAATGGTCAGCGGGCACTCTGGCCCCCAGGGGCAGTAGGACATGAGACGGGTGAGGGCCCATGCCCACGATGAGCTCCTGGGAGGTGCCCCTGCCGCTTCCCCCGCAGCTGGGAGCCCATTGAGAAGTACATCAACGAGCAGTACGAGAAGTTCCTGAAGGAGGAGGTGAACATCGCCCGGAAGAAGCGCATCCCGGACACCCGTGTCCACTGCTGCCTCTACTTCATCTCCCCCACCGGACACTCGTATGTACTGCCCACCTCCCCACGGGCCTGGCTCTGTGCCCGTCTGTAATCGATAGTCAATACCTGGCTCCGCCGGGGAGGGCCAGCTGGGCCCCGTGATTCCCCACACGCTCCCCACGCACGTTTGGCTTCCTTGCCGGGAGAGGGAAGCCGGCCAGCACCAGACCCACACTGCCCGCTGGTGTTCTGGCACCGAGGCACCATTGTGCCTGTGGAGAGAAGTTGGTATATGTGAACAGATGGCGTGTGTGTGTGTGTGTGTGTGTGTGTGTGTGTGTGTGGTGGTGGTTGTTAATCCTCACCCGAGGATGTTTTCCCATTGATTTTTAGAGAGAGTGGGAGAAAGGGAGGGGATCAGAGAGAGAGAGAGAGAGAGAGAGAGAGAGAGATTTTTGAAACATCAATGTGAAAGGAAAACATCAATTTGATTCCAATCAAGGGCATATATCCAGGTTGCAGGCTCGATCCCCAGCTGCTTCCTGCATATATGATTTTCCTGCTGATCAATGATTTTTTCTCATCATTGATGTTTCTATCTTTCTCTCCTTCTCCCTTCCTCTCTGAAATCAATAAAAATATATTTTAAAAAAGAAAAAGAAAGAAAGGAAGAAACTGCAACCTAGGGAGGTGCCCTTGGCTGGGAATCAAACCTGAGACCCTTCGGTGCACGGGCTGATGCTCTAACCTCTAAGCACACTGGCCAGAGCAGAGAACTCCTTATTCATTCAGTAGATGCCTGCTTTGCACGAGGCTGGGGTGGGGACAGCTAGAACCGTGAAGTGGGGGGGCAGGAGGGGGGGAGGCAGGGCTACTGGGTTGGGGCTGTTGTTTTGGGGGGGGCGTGGGATCCAGGTGTAAGCATTTGGAGGGTGTCTAGAAATGAGGCTGGCAACAAGCAAGGCATGCTGGGAACTCTGGCTGTGCGTAGCAGGTGGGGCTGCCTGGGAGGGAGAGGCCGGCAGAGGATGGAGGACCCACGTGGGCAAGCAGACAGCCTTCCTGTTGGGCAGGTCTCTAACATTACTAAGCCCACCCGCTGGGCCAGAGTGCATTCTGGACAGGTTGGCCCAAGCAAGGCAGGCCCCAGATTTTGGAGGAACTGAGTACTCAGCAGGTCCCATAATGGGGCCCGGGAATTCAATAAATTATCCCTCCCTGGAACCTGGGCTCAGGGTCTGCAAGGCAGCAGCCAGCCTGACTTAGTAAGCCCCCTGGACTAAAAACTGGGGCCAGATGGGGGCCCTGAGGTCTGGAAGGAGCTGGGTCCTTAGCCAGGGGACCCGTTGGCCGCCTGCAGGACGAAGTGGGGCTGAGAGGAAGCCTGTAGGAACAAGACACACACAAATAACATGACACAGGCCCTGCGGGGTGTATGTGTATGTGTGTGACTCCATAGCTGCTCCAGGTCAGAGAAGATGCCATGAGGGTGGTTGGAGGGGCTGGGAGGGGCAGGCCTGGGAGAGCAGGGCAGACGGTGACTGTGTGTCGGCAGAGTGAGGGCTTGCTCTGCAGATGGTGAGACAGTGTTGTGTGTGGAGAGAGAGAGCAGCGCCTTAGCCTCACCAGGTTCCTAGTCCTCCTGTCCTGTGGCTGAGTCGGGGAGGGCAGGTGGCCTGACACTCCGCCTTCTCCGGCCCCAGTTTGCGACCGCTGGACCTGGAGTTCATGAAACACCTCAGCAAAGTGGTGAACATCATTCCCGTCATAGCCAAGGCTGACACCATGACGCTGGAGGAAAAGTCCGAGTTCAAGCAGAGGGTGAGACAGCCCCTCCTTCTCCCCGCCCCCAACCTTCCTTCCACCCCAGCCTTCCCCTCCTCCACTCTTACATCCCCTCCCCCACTTCCACCCAGTTCCTACTGAATCATGGAAGAGACTGGACCCACAGTGTCTGGGGACCACGGGGAAGAGAAGTCAGTGCATCTTCTGGCTGCCTCCTCCCCACGCTCCAACTTACCCCTAAGACCACCCAATACATAACTCACACGAGCCTGAGAAACCGCTCCTCATGTTAGGTGCTGAAGGGCTGGAGTGATCAACAGGCTCGCTGTCCTTGTGGTGTCTTCTACAAACTCCTAGGCGCGGAGCATCCAGCTGGGGATGGGGTGGGGGTGGGGGAGGCAAGGGAAGTATAGACAGTGGCTGCCTCCAAGTAGACTGAAGAGGTCTTGGGTGGGGGCTCACTTCCTCCCTGCACACAGGGATAGGACACGTAGTGGCATGCACGCTGCCATGTGAAACCTGTGCTCAGCAGTGATGCTTATCAAAGTCTGAACCTCACAGACCCTGAGATGAGCAAGCTGCACCCCCAGACTGTTCCTCCTCTCAGGCAGAGCCCCAGTAATTGTACGCCTGGGGTTCACACCTGTTCAGGATCATCCTGCTGCCCAGGCCTCCAAGCCCAGAGACCAGTGGATTCTCAAGGCTGCATTCATCCCTCTGACTTCAGTGTGTGCGCACATGCACACACGCACACGCACACGCACACACACCCACACGCACACATACCCCTCCCATTATCCTGGCACTTGGCTACCTGGCTTGTCTTCCTTCACCTCTAGGTTCGTAAGGAGCTTGAAGTACATGGCATTGAATTCTACCCACAGAAGGAATTTGATGAAGATTTGGAGGACAAGACAGAGAATGACAAAATCCGGGTGGGTGCCTGGGGCTCCGCTCCATAGGTGCCCTGGATGCCTGTGGGAAGTGTATCACGTGCTGCCCCTGGCTTCCCACCTACTTCTCCCTCCCACTCTCCCTACCTCACCCTGCCTGACCCGACCAGCAGTGACAGGGAGAGGATGAGGACTAGGGGCCTTGGCCAGGACCGTGTGCCCTGCACCCAGAGCCGCAGTTCCCATCATCCCCACACCACACAGCAGCCCTTCCCTCCCATGGGGCCCAGCAAAACAGAGTCCTGACTCAGTTTCCCCCTCTACAAAATGCAGAGGTTAAACCAAGTGAGTGGCTTATAGGTGTGATGTGTTTGTTTTTTTTCCTCTTGAAAGAACCCTTTAAAGAAATTAAATGCCAGACAGAACTCCAATATACCAACACAAAACCAGAGCTGCTTTGGCTAAGTGATTCAGGCATAGAGCCTTCTCAGCAGGCCCCGAGGTGTCTCCTGGGAAGCCTAGGGCTTCAGGGAACCTGCTTATAAGCCACCAGCCTGTGTGATTTCTAAGGTCTCTTAGTTCGAACCCCCTGCAACCTGGGACTCTGCCTCGGAGTCCTGGGGCCTAGACTGGCCTTTTCCGCTGACCCACTGTCACGCAGGACAAGCCACTCATGTGCACTGGCCTTGGGTCTCCTCCTCTGGCAGGAGTGGGCAAGCTACTAAACTGCCCATATCTGACGCAGAGGAGACAGGCAGTTGATCAGTTAATTGATGAAATCATTTAAAAGATGTTCACAAATCATGTTTTTAATTAAAAAAAATACATTTTATTGATTTTCTACAGAGAGGAAGGGAGAGGAATAGAAAGTTAGAAACATCAATGAGAGAGAAACATCAGCTACCTCCTGCACACCCCTCACTAGGGATGTGCCCACAACCAAGGTACATGCCCTTGACCGGAATTGAACTTGACAGACATTCTATCCACTGAGCCAAACCGGTTTTGGCACAAATAATGTTTTTAAATAGTTATTTTACTAAATTACTAAGTAAACATTCTCCTCTTCTTGGGGACTAAGTTTACTCAACATGCAGAAGCAACTCAGCTTTACCTAATTTTTCTGAAACATTCAACTTAATTTTCAGAGAAACAGTTCTCTACACACATATACCCTCAGCTTCCAGAATAGTTAATTTATCCAATCAGGATAATGAGCACACATCAGGCATATGCATGTGGAACAAACAGCTGCATCTTTTTTTCTTTTTTTAAAAATATATTTTATTGATTTTTCACAGAGAGGAAGAGAGAGGGATAGAGAGTTAGAAACATCGATGAGAGAGAATCATCTATCAGTTGCCTCTTGCACACCCCCCACTGGGGATGTGCCCGCAGCCAAGGTACATGCCCTTGACCAGAATCGAACCTGGGACCCTTCAGTCCGCAGGCCGACGCTCTATCCACTGAGCCAAACTGGTCCCGGCAAACAGCTGCATCTTAGTGATCATGCAACCCACGTGTGAGAGCACAGGGGCCTCCACACCAGAAAGTGGCCTCCTAGCTGACGTAGGCCTCTGCCCGTAGGTTTCATGGGAGACCGTGTAAAAGCATGTCCGCTGGGTGGCTGTCCATCCTAGCTAGCTCACAGAGTTGTTCCAGATCAAACGCGAATAGCTCTCTGAAAAGTCCCAACTGTTCTCCCGTTGAAGGAAAGCAACTTTCTGAGGCTGACCAGCACGGCTGGGTGCAGTCAGAGTTGGATCCAGGACTTGGGACTCCCAGCCTAGTGCTCTTAAAAAAAAAAAAAAAAAAGATTGATTTCATAGAGGAAGGGAGATGGGAAATAGAAACATCAATAATGAGGGAGAATCCCCTATTGGGGATGGAGCCCGCAACCCAGGCATGTTCCCTGCCCAGGAATCTAACCCTGACCTCCTGGTTCCTAAGTCGATGCTCAACCACTGAGCCACATTGGCTGGGCTCCAGTGCTCTTGTGAAATGACAGGAGCCTTGCCCTTGCCTTCAGTGGGGTCACTGAATGAGCCTCAGAAGCGTGCAGTTTAAGGTTGGGGGCCGGATGCCATCCTGCCCTCGGGGGCCCAGATGGCAGAGGACGACGTGGCGTGTGTCTGGTTTATCAGCAGGAGAGCATGCCCTTTGCCGTGGTGGGAAGTGACAAGGAATACCAAGTGAATGGCAAGCGGGTCCTCGGCAGGAAAACGCCGTGGGGGATCATCGAAGGTAATCCGACGCGCCTTTTGGAAGAACTGGCTGCTGGCCAGTTACGCTTATTTATTACTAGAGGCCCAGTGCATAAAATTCATGCACTCAGGGCAGGGGTCCCTCAGCCTAGCATGCACCCTCTTGTAGTCTGGGAGCCCTCAGGGGAGGTTCAACTGTCGGCTTAGCGCTGCGGGGAAGGTGGGAAAGACTCTGCCATGCCACTGTGCTTGCCAAGCCATGAGCCCGGCTTCTGGCTGAGTGGCCCTCCCCCTGTGGGAGCGCACTGATCACTAGGGGGCAGCTCCTGCATTGAGTGTCTGCCCCCTGGTGGTCAGTGCATGCCATAGCAATCAGTCGTTTTGCTGTTCAGTCAATTGGCATATTAGCCTTTTATTATATAGGATGCATGTCTAGGTCATGGCACTGTGCTAGGATGTAGGATAGAAAGAGTGCCAGGCAGCCGAAACCGGTTTGGCTCAGTGGTAGAGTGTCGGTCTGCGGACTGAAAGGTCCCGGGTTCGATTCCGGTCAAGGGCATGTATTTTGGTTGCGGGCACATCCCCAGTGGGGGGTGTGTAGGAGGCGGTTGGTCGATGTTTCTCTCATCGACGTTTCTGGCTCTCTATCTCTCTCCCTTCCTCTCTGTAAAAAATCAACAAAATATATTTAAAAAAGAAAAGAAAAGAAAGAGTGCCAGGCAGACCCCACGGTAAGAGCTTATGGTCTATTGAGAGATGAGACTGCCAAGACAGGAAGCAATAAGACTGATTTAGCACCTGTCTGAGAGGCACCGACTCACATGTCAAAGGTCTTCAGACCGTGGGGAGAGGAATAAGGACCAGAAACACCAGAGAAAGGCTTTCGCATGAAGGCTGATGTGACCTGACAAATTGCTGACGGGTTGTGGCAGATGTTGCCATTTTCATTTTACTGAGAGTGGATGTGACCTTGAGAAGGTCGTAACGATTCTGAAAGTTTTCAACGAATTGCTTCAGTGATCTCATTCAATATGATAATCCTAAGGCAATGGTTCTCAACCTTTCTGATGCCACAACCCTTAATACAGCTCCTCATGTTGTGGTGACCCCCAACCATAAAATTATTTTCGTTGCTACTTTATAACTGTAATTTTGCTACAATTATGAATTGTAATGTAAATGTCTGTGTTTCTGATGGTTTTAGATGACTCTGCTAGCAGTTCTCAATCTGTGGGTCGCAACAGTAGCAAAATTACAGATATGAAGTAGCAATGGAAATAATGTTATGGTTGGGGGGTCACCATAACATGAGGAGCTGTATTACAGGGTTGCAGCAGTAGAAAAGTTGAGAACCACTGCATCTAGTGCATAGGCGATGCTCCAATTAACTGAGCCACACCAGCCAGGGCAGGGTTCATGTCTTAATCCTCTTCTGCTCCCACAATTGCTGGCAAGTGATTTGCAAATAGCAGGCACTCAATTTATATTGAATTGGGTTTGTCGTGTAGCGCATGACCTTTTTAAAGATGGCTCAATTGTTATTTTCTATATGTCACTGTCTTCCAGTCTGATTATAACCTCCTTAGGATAAGAACTGTGTCTTAGAGCTTGGGCAGCTTTCTTAGACTCCCTGGCATTTGCTTCCTTTTCTATAAAGTAGGGCATGTCATAGTCCCTGCCAGTATTGGACATGTAATAGTCACAGAGTCCAGAGCAGTATTGGGCCCTTGTAGCTGCTTAATAAATGTTTGTTCCGTGAATGGAATTGAGTGTGTTGAAGTGCCAAGATAGGCCGGCCTCTGACGGCTAGACACTGTCAGTGTCTCTCTCCTAACTGCATCCACGTCCTGAACAGAAGCGCACCTGCTGGGTTGCTGCGTCAGGGAAATGACCACTTGTTTTGCTTTGTTTCATTTTGTTCTGTTCACAGTGGAAAACCTCCACCACTGTGAGTTTGCCCTGCTTCGAGACTTTGTCATCAGGTAAGATGACCCCCTGTCCTCGATGGCAGGTTTCTTGATTTGGGGTCAGGAGGCCACCTGTTCAGACCCAGGGCCTCAGGCTCCAGGTCTCTCTGACGCGCCGTCTGCCCCGGTTCCAGGTCCCCTCCTGAAGCACAAGGGGCGGAAGAGGCGGCGCTGGCTGCTGGCTCTCCCAGTCAGTCCCAGTGGGCCCAGGCCATGGAAGGGAGGTGTGAAACCTGGATGGGGGTCACCTCTTCCTCCTCCCACCCCTAATCACATCCTTCCCTCTCCTCACCTGTATCCCTCAGGACTCACCTCCAGGACCTCAAGGAAGTGACGCACAACATCCACTATGAGACCTACAGGGCCAAGCGGCTCAATGACAACGGAGGCCTCCCTCCGGTGAGCGCGGACACAGAGGGAAGCCACGACAGTAACCCATGACGACCCTTTCTCTACATCATCACACATCCCCACTTCTCCACACACACACATCCCAGCACCACCACCAACCACCTTCTTCCTTTCTACTCTGTCCCACAGGCCTGTCTGGTATTCGTGGAACATTTTGTCTACAGCATGTGTGCGCATGTGTGTGTGTGTATGTGTGTGTGTGTGTGTGTGTGTGTGTGTGTGTGTGAGAGAGAGAGAGAGGGGGGGGGGTGAGGGGAGTGTGTGTGTGCCTGTTCAGGGGTGAGATATTTTCACTGCCCTCCCTGGAAAGTCCCTTGTAAGTTTGGTTTCTCCATGGCTGTCCATTATCTGTCTCCTTTCCTTGTGTCCCAGAATCAAGCCGTGTGCCTCACTCAAGAGGTCTGGGGAGGTTTCACTTAAAAATGAGGGTGCAGGTGAGCCACAGGTAACTTTCTTATCTCTGAACCTGCCCGCACACTGGGTCTGCCGAGAGTCTCCGAGAGGACAGGCAGCAGAGCGAGGCCTGGGAGGGGGCGAGGCGTTCGGACTTCCCCCGGCCTGGAAGCCAGGTGGTCTGCGTAAGGCCAGGACTTCCTAGGAAGAAGGAAGGTCAGGGGACAACAGAGAAGTAGGCCGAGCTGGGCGCCTGCGAGAATTAGTGCCTAGAAGCGGAGACGAGAGCGCCACCCTTCGGTCTGTGTTGCATTCACCGTCCAAGAGCTACTGCCTGTCCCTGTCACAGCCTGCTGTTTTCCACGCGTCATCCTCGCCTCAGCTCCCATGTTCTCCCTTTCTCCCCCTTTCCCTCATTTCTTCACCCTGCTCCCCCCTCACTTCTTTAATTTCCTTGTGGACTACTGCACTTTGGTTACATTTCTATATTTAGACTTTATGCCCAGTCTACTTCCAAAAATGACTTAGGCCACCTTAAAATAAAATCGCAGCTGGAAGCACAGGACAGAACAAACTGGGACTACGAGAGTGAGATCCATAGAGAGGAATGGGAACCCGTTTGTGCAGGCGAGCGCCAAGCTTGGCGCTGAGCTTGTGGGCAGCGCGGGCAAAGGGCGAGGCCCAGGGAGGTCTGTGCTTCCCAGTGTCTGGGTAAAGAAGCACGCAGCTGGTCAAGTGAGACCCTGTTTTTAGGCATTAAGTTCCAGAAGAACTGAGTTTAAAGATGTATCAAGAACAAAATACTAGTACAATGTTTGTCTTTCTTGATAATTTGGCGTCAGAGACAAATTTTATTTGATTGATTTCAGAGAGAGGGAGGGAGATGGAAAGGGAGAGAGAAACATTGATTAGCTGCCTCCTGCAACCTGAGCGTGTCCTCTGACCAGGAATCCAATCGTGACCTCCTGGTGCGTGGGATGACGCTCCACCAGCTGGGCCACACCAGCCAGCCCAGAGACAAATTTTAAATTACACCTTTTCTCTCCATTAGGAATCTTCCTCCTTAAAGCTGGCTTCTCTGTTGCTTCCTTCTTCCCATATGAACTTGACCCCCCTTTTCTCTCCTCTGTTCTCACTTTTGTGCTGAAGCTAATTGCATTTTGGCTTGTTTGTCTTTCTCTGCTGCTTTCCCCTATTCCCGCTCCCGACACCTGTAGACATTCCCAGTGACACCCACAATCAGACATTTAGCCTTTTCTTGCCTCTCCCTTCAGCCCTGTATTTATTAATGCATATACACCCCATTTGTTTTATAAACAAGCGACTCCTCCTCTAGTCACTGAGGCGGCTAAAATGTGGGGCTGGGGAAACAATATAGCCTTAGGCAAGGGAAATCACCAAGGAACGGTTCACAGCGACCTAACACAACCTCCTGGTCCATGTCCTGGTCCCCCCTAGTGTTCTGCAGGGCCACTGCGAACCCCAGCATTCACAGTCCCTTTTCATTCAGGTGCTAGGAAAACACAAAGACCAAGAGTCAGTGCACCAGGTGAAAGAGGTGGGTGATCAATCGCCAATGACCCAGAACCTGTGGCCTCAATCTTTCCTGGAGGCTCTTTACAATTCAACCCACATCCTCCCTTACCCACAAAGTTACCCCAGTGGAGGCACCTGTCAGGATAAAGCAGCAATAGGGGTAGAGCCCAGAAGTTGCTGCACTTCAAATAGAGAGGGTTCCCGGGCTTATATAGTGAGCAGTCTTGTGCGGAAATGTGGGACTAGACCCCTAGGCCTATCGGGGAATATCTAAGGGTGGAGGGTGGGCATTGAAGAGGCTGACAGAAAATGTGGTGTGGTGCCCCTAAACTGCGATCTCAGCCTCCCCTGAGAAGCTGTTTCATATGTCTGGTGTCCACACCCTCAACCGTTCTCAACCCCCTGCAGGGAGAAGGCCTCCTGGGCTCTGTCCTTCCACCCGTGCCAGCCACCCCCTGTCCCACTGCTGAATGAAGGCCATTTCAAGCGCTGCTTCTCCCTCCATTCCTCTCAGCTGTCATGGCTGCAGGGCCATGACCTTTGAAGGGCGTGTTTGTCCAGCCCACCTCCACAGCCCTTCTCTCTCTCTCTCTGGCCCTCAGCAGGTGGGAGGGGCCAGCTGCTTTAGGACAGTCGCCTTCTCCATTTATCCAAACACCCCTCTCCTCCCAGTGGAATGGAGCTCTCGCCAGCACTGCCCTCCTCCATCGTCCGTGTCAGCTGGTCCCAGCCCATCTGTAGGGCGAAAGAACTCATCAAGAGCTTCTTCTGCCCTTGCAAACCCATGCCAGCTGCTTGTTACCATCTCCAAGGGACATGGCATTGCTCCCTGTCCATCTGCATGAGCTGCTCTTGGCTTCCTTAAGGGGTCAAGAAAGCCATTTTTCTGCTTGTCAGAGTCATTGATGTCAGCTGTGTGTGCCCTGATGTGGGACAAGAGTGTCTCCTTCATTGCTTAAAACTTATTTCTGAGGATGGGTCACTACAGATGTGGGGGAGTAAGGGCTAGGATCTCTCCTTTAAAAATCACCACTTGTGGCTGGCCCAGCGTGTGGTCACACACCCTCCCCACCCCATAATGTAGCCACTTAGGAAGAGTGGTTTTCTGAAGAGACATTTCTGGGTTGACTCCCTTATCCTCAACCTTAAAAAACAAACTAAACACAGACAAAAAACTCCAAATCCCCAGAAGATGTGAACTCTAGGAAGAAAAAAAGCACCCATCTGTCTACTTAGCAATAAGAAGGATCTCTTCCCACCCACATTGATTATTCCTCCCCCCCCCCCCCCCCCCCCCAGTTAATGTGAGTAATGAGTCAGTCTGGCCACAGTTGGTCACTGTAGGCTAGTGGAAAATACCCAATGGAGGGCAAAGGCCCTTATCAGATGCATGAATGTTTGCGAATGTCAGCTGCCACTGCCCCACACACTGTATCTTTATGGAATCTCTCCCTGCCCACCCCTCCCCATCTCCACCTGGATGCAACTTGCTCAAAGGCTGGTGACTTGTGGGCCATTCATCCTCAACCAAGTCCTGATGGAGCAAGAGGCCCAAGCCTAGGGGATACAAGAAGGACCCATTTCTTAAATGTTACTAGTCCCAGCCAACCTTTTGGTGACATTATGGTTACATTTCCCAATTGAAAACAAGCCAATGACACTCAAACTGGTCGTGTAAATGTTGCTAGACTTTGTGTTGTACAACTAAACATTGCTGTTTGAACAATAACTGCCTGGCCTGTGTCTTATTTGTGCTTCTCACTCCTTAGCCAAACAGACATGACATCATCTCAGCCATGTGTGGAGGGTGAGGCAGGGACTGTCTTAGTAAGAAGCCACAGATATTAAAGATAGAGATCATTTTTTGAGGTTAGTTCATCTTTAATTGGACCCCAGTCATTAATCCCTGGAATTTGTACCCAAAATGGGTGATGAAACTCACTCTTGATCTTGAGGAATGCATTGCATAGCCTGCTTCCTTCCATGAAAACAATGTTTCATTCAGCTAATTTTTCTAGCTTTTCCCCTCCTTTTTCCTGAAGGCATAAAAACCAAGTCTGTCAAAGGAGTGAACCCACCTTGCCTAGAGACTTGCCTACTTTACAATGAGTACTTTTAAGTGTTAAGAATTTTAAAAAATTAAATTTAAATCACTAGCTTGTCTCTTTTTTGAACTTAAACCCATCCCACCTCTATTTGAGGTTTATCCTCTCCTTTGTAACCAGTAAATAGCACAGCTCTTACCTGTATATTATTTCTCTAAATTTGGACATGATAGGTCCATACATGCCCTTGTGTTTGGGATGTCAATATTCTGTAAGGTAGGTGCAAGGTATAGACGAACAGTGAAGGGTCAAGACTGGAGGAAGACAAGTCAGGAGGCTCTTGGGAGTCATTCAGATGAAATGACGAGGGCCAGAACTGGAGTGCGTCACTGTGCCTGGATGGGGAGAAGTGTGAAGCTGTGAGTGAGAGAGCAGTTTTTCCAACTTAAGATATTACTAGAAGAAACCTAAGAGTTTTTCTAGTCCAAAGTCCAGAGAGCATAATTAGCTTGTCTGAAGTTGCATGCTTAAGTACCAATGCAAGAAGACGACTAGATCTCAATGATCGTCCCATTGCTTCACACCATTCCTATTGTATTTATTTATTCTCATGGTCTTGCACTTAAAAATATATTTATTTCTGAAATCAGAATACAACTTACATCTGATGACATGTCAGTTTACTTGGCAACTTTTTTTCTTGGTACATTTAAATATGGTGCATCTTATAACTGACAGGATATTAAATTTGATGAAATACAGTAATCGGATGTTCATGTCCTTTCTCTTGGAAGCCCTCTGGTGCTATTTGTGATGTTTAAAGGAAATCAGCATCTTAATCTTCAAAGCAATTCTATGTGATGTATCTCGCCGGGTCTCCACAATCGCCCTCTGGGGGTGGCAGGGCAGGTACGATGGACGACGCAGGCTCTCTCCACCTTGGAGCAGCGCGGACTTCCCTTCGACGTCCAGACCAGCTCACACATCCCGTTCTGTAGGCCACATCCTAAGAAACCGGCTCTGATTCCAGGCTTTCTCTGGTGGGAAAAGGTTTTCACCTTCAAAGCGAGATACCATTCTGGATCCTTTCTCCAAAGGGCAGCAGCTTCCTGACCCGGGCAAGGGAGGACTGAGGAAGCGCCTGCTTTTAACTTTTTTTTTTTTTTAATATATATTTTATTGACTTTGTACAGAGAGGAAGGGAGAGAGATAGAGCTAGAAACATCGATGAGAGAGAGTCATCGATCAGCTGCCTCTTGCACACCCCCTACTGGGGATATGCCCGCAACCAAGGTACATGCCCTTGACCAGAATCGAACCCGGGTCCCTTCAGTCCCCAAGCCGATGCTCTATCCATTGAGCCAAACCGGTTTCGGCTGCTTTTAACTTTGATTTCCCGACAGGATGGGTTCAAGTTCATGCTGATGATGCAGTGGCAGAGCAGGCAGGTGAAGGTCGCGAAGGCCACTCACCCCTCCGTGCCCTGGGGGCGGAGTCAACTCCCTGGACCCGCCTCCTTCCTGGTGAGGCGGGCATCTCACCTCTGATTCCATCACTAGGCCAGCTGCTCCCCCCACCCCCTCACTCCTGGTCTTTGCGCCATAATCGCCACCTCCGCTTTACAGCCCGGCCCCTCAGCTTGGTGCAGGCCCCGCCCTTTCCCATCTGCGGGGCGGCCTGAGGGGCCCCGAGCAAGATGGCGGTGAACCAGAGCCACACGGAAAACCGCCGCAAGGCCTACATCCCTTACGGCGAGAGGTGCCTGACCGGAAGCCGGCGCTGTGGGAGGAGGGGGGGGACAGGCTGGGCGGAGCAGGCGGCTTGCGAGCTCTCAGCGAATCAGGGACTTTCGCGCCTTTTCCGACCAACCACGCTTAGCTCCGCCCCCGACGTTCGTGCGCATGCGTGTTCTCACGCTTGTTCCGGGCCCAAGAGGCGGCGCAGGAGGAAGCGTGTAGCCTCGCACGTGTGAAGGGCGGGAGCGCGCCTCTCGGCGCCGGAGGGCGGGGCGGGAGCTCCTGGAGAGGGGGCGTCTCCTCGGAAGAAAGGTGAGGGCGCCCTGGGGTGGCGGGGAGTCGCATGGCCCCTGCGGAGGGCGTGCAGCTGCTGCTGGGCGTGAGGTAGCGACCTTTGTGGGGTGCCCGCCGCACTCCCTACCCCCACTCTGTGGAACTGGGCCCTGGACTTCCGGAGGCGGAAGAGGCATTGCGTGGAAAATTCTAGAAAGACTCCAAACTCTCGGGGGTTGGGGGGCTCAGTTGTCTTCAGAACTTCCCAAAGTCCCCTTCCTTACTTTCTGGCCCCGCCAGGGAGAAGCCTGCCCTTTATGGAAGAGGCTGGGACCAAAACAAGAGACAACTGGGAAGGATGGCGCTCCCTCCGGTTAATTAGTTCAGTGTCTTTCCTAATGGCCACTGAGGACACTGTCTGCCTTCTTTGCCCCTGCAGTCTTAGCAAGTGGCGAGTGCTACTAAATATTGGTGAAAGAATGAACAACTGAATACATGAATCCAGGTAATAACACAAGCAACGGGGTGCTTTGCTCGGTGCCTGCAGTGTTGCTGCTCCCCCTCCTTTGGCCGCTTCCCAGGCTGTCTGGGGAGAGTGGATTTATCTCCTCTCCACCTCATACGCAATTCCCCGGCCCCCCAGTTTCTCAGAAACTTGTCTGCCCGTCTGATCCTCTTAACCATACCCCTCTCTGCTGGGATGGCCCTCGTTTTTCCTGGCAGTGCGGCCTGAACCCAAGTGCTGTGCTCAGATACGCCTGAGCCCCTCTGAGCCCCTTGGAATGCCAGGTAGCTCAGCTGGTAAGAGCATTGTCCCCACACGCTCAGGTTGTGGGTTCTATCCCTGGTCAGAACACATTCAAGAATCAACCAGTGCACACATAAATAAGTGGAACAATAAATTGGTGTTTGTTTCTTCTCTTTCGCATGTGCGAGAAGCAACCAATCCATGTTTCTCACAGTAATGTTTGTCTCTCCCCCTCCCTTCCACTCTCTCTAAAAAATCAATGGAAAAATATCCTCGGGCGGGAATTAAACCAAAAAAAGATCTTGGAACACTATTCACCCCTTAAGAATCAGCTCATATTTCAATCTTTCTATAGTCGTTCCTAATTACTTCAACCAAAACTAACCTCTCCTTTCACTCAGTTGCCGTGACATTTTTGTGCCATATATGTGATGTGTGTCATATGTTGCTTGTGTTATTACCTGGATTCATGTATTCAGTTATTCATGCTTTCAGTCAATATTTAGTAGCACTCGCCACTTGCTAAGACTGCAGTGGCAAAGAAGGCAGACATTGCCCTTAGTGATCGTTAGGGAAGACATTGAACTAATCAACACATATAATAATTACTCAGAAAAACCAATAGGATTCTATGGATGAACCCAAGTTTTTCAGGTTAAGAGTGAGGGGAGAACTTGAAAGGCAGAGGATTCTGGAGCATTCTGCATGCCTCACCTTTAACATTTCCTTTAGCACAGTGTTTGATAGTTCTTCACAAGAAGTATAAGAATTCAAGAATAAACAGAAAGAATACAAGTAGTTTTGCAAGAAAAATAATCCAGCCCTGGCTGGTGTGGCTCAGTTGGTTGTGCATTGTCCTGTGCACTGAAAAGTTGCTGGTTTGAGTCCTGGTCAGGGCATGTAACCAAGTTGCATGTTCGATCCTCAGTAGGGGGCATGCAGGAGGTAGCCCATGGAGGTTTGGCTCTTACATTGATGTTTCTCTCTCTCTCTTAAAATAAATTTTTTAAAAAAGATATAAGATTCCTGATTGGCTTTCAATAAATATAATGGGAAAATTTAGATAATGTAATCCAGAGATAAAGACAGAGAAGAATAAGTGTGAATTTTTAGGGAATAAAATAATTTAAAATTCTTTTTATGTCAATAAAGATAGTAGTAGGAGCAGCAGCTAACATTTATTGAGTATCCAGGCTAGGAACTGTGCCAGGAGTTTTATGTTTGTCACTTTATATAACTTGTAAATTGTGTGCTGTCTGCCCTTTCTGTTCTGCAGTATCTTGAATCAGTGTAATGATGTGGACCTCTCCTTCCCAGAGCATCCATCAGGATCCAATCTCTTGCATGGCACAAAGAGGGGAACGTTGCTTCTCACTTCATACCGGGTAATTTCTCTTTCTGCTCCTATTTTTTATTAACTCTATATTTAATTTCCTTAAAATGGAGAGAGGGTAACCATTGAGTCTCAAAGTGTTTTAAAACATTTACACTTTGAGATTTTCCATGTTGAAGGATGATAAAAGAAAATGATGATGCTTTTCAATTAGGCCAGGATGCCAAAGCAACCTTAACCATAGACATTTTTATGTCTCAAACTATGGACAAATTGCATTCCTTTTTCAAAGTGACTTTCCTTTCTTAGGTGATCTTCGTGACGTCATATTCCATCAATGATCCCATGCTTTCTTTTATGATGCCATTTGATCTGATGAGTAACTGTTCCCTTGAACAGCCCCTCTTTGCCCCCATCTACATTCAAGGAACTGTTCAGGCGGCTCCAGATGGTACGTGTTTACAGTCAAAAGTGTTTTTGTTTGTTTGTTTTCTTAAAAGCTTCCAGAAGGTTTAAGATTCAGACTTAGCTCATGTTAGAATTCAAATAAAAGAAAGCCTGCTTCTTTGGGTAATGCTTCTGTCAGTGTTTGCGTTAGTCCAGTTACCAGCTGTGCCAGCCTGCCTCGTAGTGAGTGTGTGCCGTTTCTTCCCCCAGGTGGCTGGGAAGGACAGGCTACTTTTAAATTATCCTTCAGCAAAGGAGGTGCCATCAAATTTTTCCAGTTGATGATGAAAGCTGCCTCTGCTGGTGAGCGATAATGATAAAACTATTAAGCACTTTGGGTTTTTGAGGCTCGTGGAGTGAAAGCAGGACTGTTACCCAGTTAGGATTTTCTGGTCTCTGTGAGTAGGCACATGGTAATTGCTCATGCGTGTATACAGCAAGCATTTCCTAAGTAGTATTGTACTCAAACACATACTATGTGCTGAGTACAATACTCCCTGTTGGGAAACATGATTCAGTCCCTCCCTATTCAGAAGGAGTTTGAAATCTAGTGGGAGCTTACCAGTCAGACACCTGAGTGACTAACTGTTCCTCATAATCTTTTATCCATCTAATTGCTGGTCTCATATATCACTCGCTAGTCTCTTCACATCAGGGAGCCTGGTTGCCTTAGCTCTTCTTCCCTGACATGCCTTTTTGTCACCTCTTTTCTCTGGCTTTGCCTTTGTTTCTCTTAGGCTTAGTCCCTATCTTTGATGAGAGGAAGGAAGAGGTAGCACTGCCCTAATGGATGGTACAGAGACCTCCTTCACATTTTGAATACAAATAATCTGTATGATATATTTTTATTCAGTCTAACCTCACTCCATGCTCTTCACTCTCTCACCTTTTGTACTCCAATCCAACTGGACTTCTTTGTGCCTGGTTCTCACATCTCTGAACCTTCATGATATTTCCTCTCTCTCTGGAGTGCTCTTTCCTTTCTCCCTTGCCTTCCACCCCCAACTTCAATCTAGTTGAGACTAACATAAACTAGTAGAGACAGGCATGCAAGTATGTTATCTCATAGCATGTGCTGTAATAGAGACATGGATAAAGTGTTAGGACACACAGAAGGATGGAGTGAAGTTTCTAGCTTAGAAGACTGGATTATGATTCTATAAACCATGGTCAAGAATATAAGAACTCTGGCTGGTGTTCTCAGTGGTTAGAACCTCATGCACCAAAGGGTCGTGGGGTTGATTCAAGGACACATACCTGGGTTGCAGGTTCACTCTCCACCCCAACCAGGGCACATCCAGCAGGCAAATGGTTGGTGTGTCTCTCACATCAATATGTTTCTCTCTCCCCTTTCCCCTTTTCCCTCTCCCTTCTTCATTCTTCCCAAAGCGAAGGAAAAAATATCCTTTGGTGAGGATTAACAAAACAAAAAGGATATAAGAGCCAAAACCTGTTGGCTCAGTGGTGGAGCGTCGGTCTTCGGACTGAGAGGTCCCAGGTTTGATTCCAGTCAGGGGCATGTACATTGGTTGCGGGCACATCCCCGGTAGGGGGTGTGCAAGAGGTAGCTGGTCGATGTTTCTCTCTCATCGACATTTCTAGCTCTCTCTCTCCCTTCCTCTCTGTAAAAGGATCAATAAAATATATATTTTTTAAAAAGGATATGAGACAGTCTAAGTTGGAGAGGAAATTAGGTTTTTAAAAAATTATTTTTACTGATTTTTAGAGAGTGAGGGGAGAGGAGAGAGAGTGAAACATCGAGAGGGGAACATCATTTGACTGCCCCCTGCATGTCTTTCCCTGGAGATCCATGAGCCTTGACTGGTAATCGAACTAGCAGCCTTCCTGTGCAGGGGCTGACACCCAATCAACTGAGCCACACTGGCCAGGGTGAGAGGAAATGAGTTTAATTTTAGGCCTAATAGTACTAACTAGCATTTTTCCAATGCTTACTATATACTGGAGTGTTCCAAGCCCTTTACATGTATCAATTTATTTAATCCTCACAAAAACCTTAAGATGTAGGCACTAATAATCATTCCGGACTTATAGCTGGGAAAACTGAGTCAGTGATGGTTACATAATTTCCCAAGACTATACAATTAGTAAGTGATGGAGCTGGACTTTATACTTTAAACCTACTCTTTCTCTCTTATTAAACATTTTATTTTGGGAAAAAATTATATTGATTGAAAAGTTACACAAATATTACAATGAACTCCTATGGACCCTTCATCTAGATTTATCCATTATTAACATTTGCTTTATCTTTTTTTTCCCTCTCTTGGTTTTTTCCCCTTCTTGTTTTTGTTGAAATATTTGGAAGTTACAAAGATCATTTCCTTAATGCCTAAGTATTCTAATGTATATCTCTTAAGAACAAGGCCATTCTCTTATCTAGTCATTGTACTTATTAAATTCAGAAAATTTAACATTGAAGCAGTATTATTGATATAGTTTATATTCAAGTCTAAATGATTGTTCCATTACTGTTCCTAATTCTATTAGCGCTTCCCCCCGCCCCCCTGCAATGCAGGATTTAATCCTGAATTACACATTGAATTTAATTCTTATTCTTTGTTCTCCTTTAATCTGGACTCAGCCTTTTTTTTTTTTTTGTCTTTCATGACACTGAAATTATAAAACAAATACAGGCTTAATGTTTTATAGAATGTATCTTAATTTGGGTTTGTCTGTTCTTTATGATTATATTCAGATTACATTTTGGTAAGAGTACTGTAGAAGGGACTTTGTGTATTTTTGAGAATATACTCTTAATTCCTTAATACAAGTGTGAGATACATGGGAGTGCTAGAGGCCAGTGGATGTGCAGCTCAGAGCTCCCGAGATTAACTGTATCTAGAGACTGATTTGGAAATCTTTAGCACACTGGACATTTCGGGAGCTTCGTATTTGGTTGATGGGCTCATTCAGTGAATTAAGGATGGTATTCCAAGAGTCCTCAACATTTAAGGAATGGGCAAGGAGGAGTGAGTGACCTGTAATGAAGATTGAAGAATGACAGGGAGGTAGGAGGAGAATCAAGTGAGTTTATTATCCCGGAAGTCAAGAAAGGAGAAAGTCTCAAGCAATAGAGTGGTCAAATGTGGCAGCTCTTGTAGACATGCTTGGTAAGATAAAAACTGAAAAATGTGCTTAGTGTGTGGAAATTTGAGGTTACTGGTCTTAGCAAGGGAGATTTTAGTGAAGAGAGAGATCTGGATGCCTGACAATGGATAACAGGGTGTCCTGGCAGATAAAGGGAGTACAACTATGGGGAACTCTTGGAAGTCCAATTTCTCTTTGCTGTACATGTCTGGGGAACTCAGGGCAATTGCAAACTGGATCTTGAATTTCTTCTTAGTTTTGGCTTCATAGTACTAAGGGGGAGTTATTTTTAGGATTATGGGCTAAGGTTGAGGCAACTTTTGGGGATCCTCTTTGTGCTCACATTAAGATCTCCTTGCCCAGCTGGTATGGCTCAGTGGTTGAGCATTGACCCATGCATGAATCAGATTACAGTTTGTTCCCAGTCAGGACACATGCCTTGGTTTTGGGTTTGTTCCCCAGTAAGGGGCGAGCAGGAGGCAGCCAATCAATAATTCTCTCTTATCATTGATATTTCTGTCTCCCTCTCCCTTCTCCTTTCCTGTCTCTGAAATCAACCAAAACATTTTTTTAAAAAAAAAGAGATCTGCAAAGGTAGGCAGTTGCACAGCAACTTGGAAGGATTTAGTCAACTTATATGAACTTGGTCCAGTGTCTGAACTGCTCTGGGTCTCATGGTATCATGGCTTAGGTGTGGGAACCTACCTCTGCTCCCCTGGCAAGAGTCAGTGCTTGTGAGATGGGCTTCCTTGAGGCCTTTGGAATTAACTATTCATTGTGCTTCATGATCTGATTTATTGGCCAAGAATGATTCCCTTCCCCTCTGCAGAGTGGATTTGTCAGGAGTCATTGAGTTATATTTATAGCAAATGTATATTGAATACTTACTGTGTGTCAAACACTAGGTGAGACAATTGGGAACACAACAGTGACTAAGACATACATGGTCCTTTGTTAAACTTAGTCTAGTGAGAATCATATAAAAAATAAGCAAATATATAAGTGAATAAAATAATTACTTCTGCCGGCACCGGTTTGGCTCAGTGGTAGAGCGTCGGTCTGCGGACTGAAAGGTCCCGGGTTCGATTCCGGTCAGGGGCATGTACCTTGGTTGCGGGCACATCCCCGGTAGGGGGTGTGCAAGAGGCAGCTGGTCGATGATTCTTTCTCATCGATGTTTCTAGCTCTCTATCCCTCTCTCTTCTTCTCTGTGAAAAATCAATAAAATATATATTTTTTAAAATAATAATTACTTCTTCCAGAAAGGGCTACTCATAGTTATTGAAAAGGAGAAGATCAGGGGTAAGGAAGATAACTTTAGATTTATAGTGAATTACTTAATGCCAGCTAATTAATCAGATAAACCCCAGATTATCAGTGGTTTAAGACAATAGTAGATACTAATGCTTATATAAAGGCCAATTATTAGGGCTAAAAAGGGGAACCTGTTTCACATAGCCCTTCATGGACCCAGGGTAATAGAGTATCTGCCATCTTTAACACATAACACATGGCCTGTTGGATAGCTGTCAGAAAGGGGAAGAGAGGAGATCTTACCTGGGAAGTTTTCATGGGCCAGGCCTGAAACTGTTGTACATTACTTCTGGTCATATGATCAGAAATCAGTGTGGTGGGCTGATAATGACTCCCAAAGATATATCCTTATCCTAATTCTTAGAACCTGTGAATGACACCTTATTTGTTTTTTTGTTTTTGTTTTTTGTTTGTTTGTTTGTTTGTTTTTGAATGACACCTTATTTGTAAAAAGATGTCTTTTTGGATGTTATTAATTTAAGGATCTTGAGATGAGGAGATTACCCTCGATTATCTAGTGCAAGCATGTTTAACTCTTGGCCTATGGGACGCATGCGTCATATATTTGGCCCATGTTAGCCTTTGAGTTTGACATGCTTGATCTAGTGGGCCTCAGATGCCATCACAAAGTGCGTTCAAAAGAGAGGGAGAAAAATAGAAGTGCTTTCCCCTGTACCACACAGCCATTAAATTCTGTAATGGATATATCTTATCAACTTGATAGAATTTCTCACTTGGAAATTTTTCTGAATGCCTATCATGGTAGGTGCCTTTATGCTAGACCCTAAATAAACACAGGCAAATAAGTCACAACCTCTGTCCTCAAGAAGCATAGAATTCAGGACTAGGGCAATGTATATTCTTTATCTTGTATCCTGGAAACATTGTTGAACACTCAAGTAAGGTGGTAGTTAATAGTTAATTATCTGGTTGATAGTTACATTTGACTTAAAAAAGAATGTTGCCAAATTTGTTTTTTCAGCTGCCCAAGGAGCTCCACTTCAAAGTATAACTTGCTGGTTTGCTGTTCCAAGACTGTGTATCGTTAGTGGGCAAACGTCTAATCCAGGTAAGGTATGGCATAAGGTTCTTCCTGGGAGGTGGAAAAGTATGCAGGGGTTCAAAGATCTACTCACTGCTAGCTTGCCTCCAGCCCTGCCGGCAGAAGCAGCATCGGCGGTTTGGAGCTTGGAAAGTGGTTGAGTACGTGACTTCATTTCCAGATTGAAACCCAGTGGCAAGTCAGTAAGTTTCAGGCTTATTTTTAATTAATAATATACAGATACAAAACATACTTAGGCAACTCCCAATATTGGAAACAGTCACTTCCTGTTTTTGCAGCCTATGCAAAAACATATGCTCCTGTTCACTTCCTCCTTCCCATTTCTTTTTTTTAATATATATTTTATTGATTTTACACAGAGAGAAATTGAGATAGAGAGTTAGAAACGTCGATGAGAGAGAAACATCGACCAGCTGCCTCATGCACACACATCCCCCCCCCCCCACTGGGGATGTGCCCGCAACCAAGGTACATGCCCTTGATCGGAATCGAACCCGGGACCTTTCAGTCCGCAGGTCGACGCTCTATCCACTGAGCCAAACCAGTTTCGGCCTTCTTCCCATTTCACACAAGCACAGCCATCAAGCTTACACCATGTCCTTCAGCCTCACTAAGGATTCCAGTCCTGGGCTTTATGCCCTGTGCCCTTTAACAGTTGTGCCTGGCCACAGCTGCTGTCATGTTACTGGGAAGTGGTCAGTGATTCTCAAATGTTGTCCACCACCTTATCGGTAGACCACAAAGGATCTCCTAATGAGCTGCCAACAGACCCCAAAATGTGGTTCCTTTCTTGGGTCTTGGAGCATGACATGTATATCATTGGCATTTAGCCTTGTATACAACTGAAGGATATTTATTTGTGCCCCTAATAGTTACCTAGTTGTAAAAGGTTATTAAACTGTAACACTGTGCCCAAAAATCTAAAATGTTGCTACGATTTTATGTTTTTTTATTGAGTTGAAATTCATAGAACATAACATACAATAATTTTTTTAACATACAACTATTTTTAAATGTGCAATTGGTATTTAGTATATTCACAATGTGGTGCAACCATCAGCTCTCTAGTTTTAAAATTTTTCATCACTCCATAATTCCCCACTAAATAATAATTCTTCTCAATGCCTCTTAATTTACTCTAATCTGCTATTTGTCTCTGGATTTGGTTATTCTGAATATATCACATAAAAGGAATCATACAATACATCACCTTTTGAGTTTGGCTTATCACATCTAGCATAATGCTTTTAGGCTAATCCCAGTTATAGCATGCACTTTATTTTTTTTTGGCTGAATACTATTTCTCTGTACATATGGATCATAATCTATTGTCTTTCCTCATTCTTTTACTTTCAATCTATTTGTGTCCTTAGACTTTTAAGTAAGTCTCTGATTAAGCCTTGGCCAGTGTGGCTCAGTTGTTTGTCATCCCTTGCACTGGAAGTTCGCTGGTTCGATTTCCAGTCAGGGCACATGCCTGGGTTGCGAGCTCGATTCCCAGTGTAGGAGGCAGCTGATAGATGATTCTCTCTCGTCGTTGATGTTTCTATCTCTCCCTCTCTCTTCCTCTCTCTGAAATAAAAAACATTTAAAATAAATAAAAAATTGAAGTTATAATTATGATTGCATAAACATATTAATAGATATTCTACAAAGAAATGCATTAAAATACTAAGTTTTTATGTTATGATTACATAATATATTTTATTGATTTTTTTTTTTTTTTTTTTTTTTTTTTTACAGAGAGGAAAGGAGAGGGATAGAGAGTTAGAAACATCGATGAGAGAGAGTCATCTATTAGCTGCCTCTTGCACACCTCCTAGTGGAGATGTGGCCGAAACCCAGGTACATGCCCTTGACCAGAATCGAACCCGGGACCCTTCAGTCCACAGGCTGACGCTCTATCCACTGAGCCAAACCGGTTTTGGCTATAGATGTCCTTTAAAAATTCACCTTTTTTTCTATTTTCCAAATACATATTCCTCATTAAGCATGTATTTTTTATAATCAAAGAAAACTTTGTTAAGTAAAACATGTATCTCTCTATATACAGCGATAATTAATGCAGAGATTAACTGGGTTATTTTCATGTTTATTTTAATCCCTCTACAATAGGAAATGATAAAGTTTCAATTGGTTGTGGCTGAAGGATCTGGCTTTACCATTATTCTGCCTGATTCTCTTCCTGTGTTTCCTTCAGCATAATTTTTTTCTTCTTCCTCCGTCTCACTTATTCCTTGTCCACTCTAAGAAATAACTAATTTTTTTCTTCTCAATTTACCCAGTTGTTGTTCATGGGCCCCCACCACAAGGATACGGAGTTCCACCAGCGGGATACGCGCCCCCACCAGCGGGATACGCACCCCCACCAGCGGGATACGCACTCCCACCAATGAGATACACACCCCCACCAGCGGGATACGCACCCCCACCTCCGGGGTACGCACCTCCACCAACAAGATACGCACTCCCACCAGCGGGATACACACCCCCTCCTCCGGGATACGAAGCCCCTCCTCCGGGATACGAAGCCCCTCCTCCAGGATACGAAGCCCCTCCTCTGGGATATGAAGCTCCACCCTCTGGAAATAGAACTGGGTCTCACAGTTTTGTGGCAGCCCAGCCTGATGGATATGCTGCTTCTCTTCCTTCCACCTCATCTCCTCAGCACCATTCACCACCTTCTAAGAACTAAACCCTGAAGATTCACCAACCGAAGTGGCACCCTAAAACTGAAGTCTGGATAAGAAGGAGGACTCATGTATGTGTTTAAAGGCCTTTCTCAAGTAGTAGTCCCACCCTCTGGAAGGGCAGTCTTAGGGGGGAAATGAAGCTTTACTTCCATGCCTAGATTTTAGAAGCAAAGTCAACTCTTGATTATGTGCTAAAGGAAAAGTAGATTGGTAGGGTTGATTCCCTAATAATTTGGTTGATATTGGGCTGCATTTTTAAAAAATATGTTTTTGTTGATTTTAGAGGGGAAGAGAGGAGGAGGGAGAGAGAGAGAAGCATCGATTGCCTCCAGAATGCACCCAGACCAAGAAGTGAACCAATGACTTTTCAGAACACAGGACGATGCTCAATCAACTGAGTCACACTAGTCAGGGCTGAGCTGTATTTTTTTAAAATATACTTTCTTATTGACTTCAGATAGGAAGAGAGAGGGAGAGAGAGATAAAAACATCAATGATGAGAGAGCATCATTAATCTGCTGCCTCCTGCACACCCCCTAATGGGAATTAAACCCACAATCCGGGCATGTGCCCTTGACCAGAATCCAAACTGGAACCCATGAGCAGGTGAATGCTCTGTCCACTGAGTCAAATCAGGTAGAGCTGAGCTGCATTTTTTTTTTTAACATATCTTGAATGTGACTGGAAAAAGCTTTTTCCCCTCCACTATCCAAGAAGCATTTATTATGCTCAGATTTCTAGGCACTAAGATATATGTTAGAAACATCAAGTTGGCCGGGACCGGTTTGGCTCAGTGGATAGAGCGTCGGCCTGCGGACTGAAAGGTCCCGGTTCTATTCCAGGCAAGGGCATGTACCTTGGTTGCAGGCACATCCCCAGGGGGGGGTGTGCAGGAGGCAGCTGATCGATGATCTCTCTCATCGATGTTTCTAACTCCCTATCCCTCTCTCTTCCTCTCTGTGAAAAATCAATAAAATATATTTAAAAAAAAAAGAAAAAGAAAAGAAACATCAAGTTGAACACATTTTTCACAGCATTGTTTATATTAATGAAAGAATGGGACAACCTAAATTTATAATAGTGACAGAGAATTTCATAAATTATGGTATATCCATACAGTGGAATATTATGCAGCCATTAAAATGATGTCTAGAGGTAGAAAAGCCTTTTTTTAAAAAAATATATATATTTTATTGATTTTGTACAGAGAGGAAGGGAGAGAGATAGCGAGTTAGAAACATCGATGAGAGAGAGTCATCGATCAGCTGCCTCTTGCACACCCCCTACTGGGGATGTGCCCACAACCAAGGTACATGCCCTTGACCGGAATCGAGCCCGGGACCCTTTAGTTCCCAAGCCGACACTCTATCCACTGAGCCAAACCGGTTTCGGCTAGAAAAGCCTTCTTTAAGAATACCAAAACCAATGAAGCAATCAAGGAAAACATAAAGTAAATATAATTTTGACTATCTTGATTTTTTTTTTAATTCTGTATGACCAAAGTTAAAAGATAGGCAATAGACTAGGAGAAAGTAATTTCCAGCATATATATTAAACAAACAAATAACTTTTACTCAGAATATATGAATTCCTACAAATCAACCCAAAAGAAAAATGGACAGAAGATATGAATGCCCTATTAACAGAGGCAATAGAGTGGCTGGCCAAGAAACATTTGAAAAGATGTTTGTTCCACTCAACTAGTGTTAGGGAAGTACAACTTAAAAGAGAAATACTTTTTTTATTTCCAAAGGTTTACAAATATTAAAAAGATTGAAAAACTTAAGTGTTGGGAAAGATGTGAGAAATGGTTATTGTTATAAATTGTTGGAGGGAGTTTTTCAGTATGCCTTTTTAAAATATTATGTTTTAAATAAATTTTTATTGATTTCAAAGAGGAAGGGAGAGAGAGAGAAACATCAATGATGAGAGAGAATCATTGATAGGCTGCCTCCTGCACACCCCTCACCAAGGATGGAGCCCACAGTCTGATCATGTGTCCTGACTGGGAATCCAACCATGACGTCCTAGTTCATAAGTCAACACTCAACCAGTGAGCCACATTGGCTGGGCTCAGAGTGCCTTTTTAGAAAGCAATTCAGCAGTGCCTTTTATTATTTTTTAATCCTCATCGGAGGATATGTTTTTCCTGGAGAGAAAGAGAGAGAGAGAGAGAGAGAGAGAGAGATCGATATGAGGGAGAAACATTGATCAGTTGCCTTCTTTATGCACCCAACTGGGGGATGAACAAGCAATCTTGTTATGTGCCTTGACCGGAAATTGAGCCCACAACCTTTTGGTGTATGGAATGATGCTCCAACTGACTGAGGCATTTCCCCACCCCTGCTAGGGCCAGCAGAACCTTTTAAAAGTTAAAATGAGTCTACTCTTAATTTAGTGACTTGGCTTCTGGATATCTGTTTCTGAGAAGTACTTGCGTATGTACACAAAAATGTAAGTGGAGAGATTTCATTATGTTCACTGATTCTAACAACACAAAATTAGAAATAGCCTATAGGTTTATTAATAGTAAACATTTAAATAAGCCAAGGCACATCCATACTACATATGCAAATCTTCTAAGTCTTATTGTTAAGTGAGAAAAGCAAGTTTTAGGAAGTGTATATATAATAGAGAGATTTTTAGTCCTATCAGACTGAATGCCCCCTTTCAGAACTAATATTTTATAATGTTTCCTTTACTTCATTGGGATAAAATTTTCAGGCAACTGCATGTGATTCCACACCATTTCAGCCAAAATCAATATAAGACTATAAATGTGATAGAAGAAGGAATAATAGGTCCTGGCCAGTGGGGCTCAGTTGGCTGAGCTCTGTCCCATGCATCAAGAAAGGCCGCTGGTCAGAGACAAAAGGTAGGGGGAGGAGGGGTTAGGGAACAACCAAAGGACTTGTATGCATGCCTATTAGCATATCCAATGGACACAGGCATTGGGGCAGTGGGGTGGGAATGGCTGTTTGGGGGATCAATTGGGGAAAAAGAAGACATAATGTAAAACTTTAGACAATAATAAAAAATAAAAATAAAAACAAATTAGGAAGACAAAAAGAAAAAAAGGTCGCTGGTTAGATTTCTAGTCAGGGCACATGCCCAGGTCTTGGGTTCGATCCCTGCTTGGGTACAAAGGAGAGGCAATCGATTAATGTTTTTCTCTCACATTGATTTTTTCTCTCTCCCCATCTCCCTCCCTCTCTCTCTCTCAAATCAATTTTAGAAAAATAATTTGTAGTAAAATTGTAAGTATTTTAACATAAATTCTCAGATTCTTCAGATACTAGAAGACTAACGAAGTAATCAAGTGGTAACAGTGTGGCCTCTGGGCTGGGGAACTGCACAGCTGGGGAAAAGAAGGAGAGGAGACCTAGATTTTTTATTACAAATTTTTTAAGTGCATGTGTACTAAATGTTTCTATATTGAGAAATGAGTTCTTTTAAGTATTTTTATATATACTTTTATTGATTTCAGAGAGGAAGGGAGAGGAGTGGGGGAGAGAGAGAATCATTGATCCTGCACACACCCTACTGGGGATGGAGCCCACAACCAGGCATGTGCCCTTGATCAGAATCAAACCTGAGACCCTTCAGTCAGCAGGCCAATACTCTGTCCACTGAGCCAAACCAACTAGGGCGGAATGAGTAATTTTTAAGCTAAATTAATAGAATGCTAGGCTCTGCCTTGCTTATAAATTGTGCAGTGGCTCCTCACAGCCTTCAGGATAAAGTCCAAACTCCTGGTTTTCACATATATGTGGGTCATATTATGCTCCTTTATATTCAAGACCCTGCACAGATTGGCCCCTCCAGTGACCTCTCCAGCTGAGAGCCAGCTGAGCAGAACTAAATGCAGAACTGCATGGCCTCTGCCTCTGCCTTCCTCCCTACTGCATGCTACTCATTTTTCAAAACAGCCAGAAGTTCTTCTAAGAAGCTTGTTCTAAGCTCCCCTTCTTTGCCCTTCTGCCAAGCTTGTATTGTACACTCAGTGTGTTTCTGACAAAATACTGTGCCAGTCTGCCATGGCCAGGTGGTTCAGTTGGTTGGAGCGTTGACCCATACACCAGCAGGTTGCGGATTCGATTCCAGATCAGGGCACATACCTGGGTTGCAGGTTTGATCCTCAGTTGGAGTGCATATGGGAGACACTGATGGATGTTTCTCTCTCACATCTATATTTCTCTCTCTCTCAAATCAATAAAAACATATCCTTGGGTGAGGATTAAAAACACAACTGGGGCAATCCTGTTGGGATTGTTTGCATGTTCATCTCCCCCACAACCTGTGAGCTCCTTGAGAACAGAGGCCATGTCCCATTACAGGGGCCTAGCAGAAGGCAAGGGGCACAGTGGTATCTAGGTAATATTTGTTGAGTGAGTGAAGACATAAACAAATTGTGATTCTTGACTTATACACAGGTACAACACACATAAACACTAAGTTCTGGGAACCAGCTGAATATTATAGTTTTCAGAATCAGTTTTGTTAGGATTAGAAATTAAAATTTCAAAATTTATAGAGAAAGCTGTCTTCTCTCTGGCTGGTTGAGTTGAACAGTCCTGAAGGCATGGTTATATTTCACCTCTTCCTACCTCACAGCCTTGGTTTAAATGGTTCATACTGGCAAAGCCACCTCTGGCAAGGTGGTCCCAGAGCACTCACCTGGGGTTTAAAGGGCTCTGAGTGAGCAAATGATCAGTATTGTAGGTGGGTGCCAGGCAGTGTGCTAAGGCACTTCATATCTCACCTCATCCTGTGACGTGGGCACTGTTAATAGCTTCATTTTATAGCTAAGCATACTGAAGCTTGCAGACCTAGGAAACCAACGAATTTGCAACTTTGAGTAGTGGAAGCAGAACTTGAACCCAGGCTGGCTCTAGGATCTGGGACCCTAGCCTCTCATTGGGGAACCTGCTCCCCAGCATTTTCTTTTTATCCCACAGGTGCCACGTGGTAGGAGAGTTTCCTGTGCATGGAGTGGCCTGATCCTTACCACATGTGTGTGCAGTCCTGGTGAGCTCTGAGTCCCTTTTCCTGCTGCAGGCTTGATCCCTGGTGGTCAGAGGGCCTTGAAAATCAATGGTGTCAACGGTGGTTTAGTAGGTTAAAGGAGGGCTCAGATTTCTCATGAGATCAGATTGGTTCTATGTAAATGAAGTGTGAGCATTGCTGGAAGCCTGAGACTAGCTTTTTCTTTTCTTTCTTTCTTTTCTTTTTTTTTTTTTTTTTTGTAATTGATTTCAGAGAGGAAGGAAGAGGAAGAGAGAAATAGAAACATCAGTGATGAGAGAGAATCATGAGAGAGAATAATTGATTAGCTGCCTCCTGCACGTGCCCCACAATGGGGATCGAGCCCACAATCGGGCATGTGCCCTTGACTGGAATCGAACCTGGGACCCTTCAGTCTTCAGGCCGACGCTCCGTCCACCAAGCCAAACCGGCTAGGGCATACTAGCTTTTTCTTGAACCGGCTCAGCTGGCACAGGAAAGAGATAATTTTGACATCTTTGAGTTTTTCACATCCTCATAGCCTCATACCTTCATCACAGCCTCAGACCTGAAAACTCCACCACATTAATTGCCCAAGTAAAGGGTACTTACTTTTAACTATAATGGTAAAGACTTTGAGAGGGACAGTAATTATGTCAATTGGCTGGCCATTTATTAACTATATTAGTGCTAAGCACCCAGCCAGGCGCTTTACATATAAAATTTGTGTGATTGGGATCCAAGGAAAGTGCTTTGATCCCAATCATATAGATGAAAACACTGAGGCTGACAGGGAAGCAAATGGCCTAAGGCACACAGCTGGCCAGTAGGTGACAGGACAGGATCAGAACACAAGTTTCCTTTTTCACCCACATACTCATTTATGGAGTGCCTTTTATGTGCTATTTCTTTTTTTTTTTTTTTTTTTAAATATATTTTATTGATTTTATACAGAGAGAAAGGGAGAGAGATAGAGAGTCAGAAACATCGATGAGAGAGAGTCATCGATCAGCTGCCTCTTGCACACCCCCTACTGGGGATATGCCCGCAACCAGGGTACATGCCCTTGACCGGAATCGAACCCGGGACCTTTCAGTCCCCAAGCCGACGCTCTATCCATTGAGCCAAACTGGTCCTGGCTATGTGCTATTTCTGTGTGCTTGGGAGATCAGTGAACAAAATAGATAAAAATTCCTGCTCTTATGGAGCTTACATTCTAGTAATACTAAGATGCAATCAATGCATATATTATGTGATATAATTAGGCATACCATATTCAAAGACGGATGTTGATAAAAGCTATAAAAAAGAACAAAGTAAGAGAGATTAGGAGTGCTGTGGCTTGGCAGAGGGAGCAGTTTGCAATAGAGATTTGTGAGAAGATAATAGTTGAGTAAAGATTTGAAAGATACCGGAGGTGAGGGAGCTAGCCCTGCAGACCTGGGGAAGAGTGTTTTAGGCAAAGGGTACAACTAGTGTTTTAGGCAGCTTAATTCCAAAATGCCTTCCCTTACATCCACTGCCTCAAAACAAATGGATGTGAGAAGACTCCTCTCAGAAGGAAAAGCTTGAAAATAGATTGTAGGCCAACCAGAGAGAGGTCTGAACCAGACCACACAAAACAGCTTGGGGATGGAGACTGATTTCTGGGTCCTCGTTCAAAAACAGGCCTTCTTGCCTACATCCTGAAGACAAAAGAAGTTAAAGTAACGGAAGAGGCAAGGTCACCCTGGTTTCACACCCTCGATTAAACTCCGTTTGCTGTTGCACACCTCTGCTGTGGCCGTGGTCCGTTTCTGAGGGCATCTGGCCTAGTACTGGCCCCTGGGGACCTCCCAGTAGTCAGCTTGGATGTGCCCAAGCTCTACGTTTTCTGTCTGGGCTCTGCACTTGTCCTGCTTCAACTGTTCATCATCGGATTCCAAGAAAGATGGACCTCATGCTCGCTTCAGTGCTCGTGCCCCTTGATGGAGCACTTGCCTAAGCTGGGGAGCCTGTTCTCCAGTTTCCCATGGAGGGAGAGCCAGAACAAATCAATGTGAGAGCTTGTACGCTGACCAGTTGTTTGGTGTGCTGCCCAATACTGTGCTCTAGGCTTCCTGAGGATCAGTTCCGATTGAGTATTTACTGAAGCTGCTCTGTGCCAACCCTTTGTTCTGAGAAAACTGACACTTGATCTCAAGCAGTACACAGACTGCCTCAGAGATAGACAATTCCATTATGTTTTGCAAGTGTCCACCCTGTCCTGCCCCTCCCCTCGTAAATATAGGATGGGAGCAGGTAGGTACTTCACCCTCTATGTGAAGCTGTGTGGACTCCCTTCTGTTGGCTTGCTGTGAAGGTCTTACTTTCCCTGGTTCTCAGCCCTCTGAGCCTAGGAGTGCTTCATTTTGGGAACTGTTTTAGAACTATTTATGCTCAAGCTTGTGCTTTTCCCTTGGACCCAATTCTGGCATTAGACTTCAGGCTTTTACCTGATGACCAATAAGAGAGGAATACTCCTAATTCCTGAAAAAGTGCAATGATAGAGGTCTGCCAGCTTAGGTGGTCTGTCAGCTTCCTGGAGAAGGGGATGTCTGCATTGTTTTGATGCAGCCACCAGGAAAGCCTTTGGTCTGAACATGTGGTCCATCCTTAGTAAGAAGACTAGCTGTGCCCTTGTGCAATATTTCTTGCCTGTAGATCTTCCTGTTCCCTTCACTGATTGGTTCCTAAAAAGGAGATTGAGGTTTTCTGCTTGGGGTCCAGGTTGGCTGGCCTGCCTGCTGGTTGAACTCCTGGTCGAGCGGACAATTTGCATATTAGCCTTCTATTACATTGGATATACACTGAGTGGCCAGATTACTATATGTTCAGAGATCATCATAATCTGGCCTCTCAGTGTATACTCTTAAGACAGTCCAGAGAGAGGTTCAGATCTCTCACTCTGGTTGGCCTAAGGGGGTTGGAAGCCAACATTTCCATTCCCACGAGAAAAAAGCTGAATGAATTAAACATCAGTTACTCCTCTTAGATCCATTAGAAGTCATAGGGCAAACTGCTGCCTGCAAAATTAGCGAGATAGGTGGATGCAGAGTCACAACTCACCCAAAGCAAAAATCTCAGGAAATGAACCTGTCGAAAGAGCCAGTATGAGGGTAGGGTAATTTAAACTAATTGATGAATTGGGGGAGGCTTTGTATAGACAAGCTTGAGAGTTAAAAATTTCTGGGTGGGGCCAGTCTTAGGGAGGAACCCACTAGTAATGTGGATTTTACCTCCAGGAGTCCCACCAAGTCTCCACAGTAAAGAGAGGAAAACGCCCCTTGTGCTTCTGGCAAGAGAAATGGAAGGAATAGCTATTTTGAAAATACAACTTATCTATGATTATCTTATCCTGAACCTGAATTTCTGTTGCAAAAAAAACTTAATATATGCCAAAACCGGTTTGGCTCAGTGGATGGAGCGTCGGTCTGCGGACTGAAAGGTCCCAGGTTCGATTCCGGTTAAGGGCATGTACCTTGGTGAGTGGGGGTCATGGCCACTAGAGCCTGGACCACCTGAATGGCGTGGGGAAGGGCAAGACAAAAAGGGCCTGGGACCATTGCTGCTCTGCCTCACTGCGTTGTCACACCACCACCACTGTGTTGGGCAGAGCAGGGATGGCTCCCTGGTGTGAGGCAAGTCTGGACTGTCTAAGAGTATACACTGAGTGGCCAGATTATGATGATCTCTGAACATATAGTAATCTGGCCACTCAGTGTATATCCAATATAATAGAAGGCTAATATGCAAATTGTCCCCTCGACTAGGAGTTCAACCAGCAGGCAGGCCAGCCAACTGCCCACGTCCCCTCCCCCTGGCTAGGCTGGCTGGACTCCACCCATGCACAAATTCATGCACTGGGCCTCATATATAATACACACACACACACATACACACACTGAGTGGTCAGATTATTATGCGTTCAGAGATCATAATAGTCTGGCCACTCAGTGTAATTTGCAGGTCATTTTGGAAAATGAGGGACAGAAGATGCCCCACATCTTCCATGTGAGGTCAGATTTGAAACTGGCACCCTGTGTAGTGCCACTCAGAGCCATTGAAGGTGCCCATTGGCCCAGGACCATGTTACAACTATTTGATGAAAGAACAGCTTTATTGGTGACCTGAGGGAGCCAAGGTCACTCCCGTGGAGTATCAGCCTGCAAGGTCTCCTCCGGGCAGGGAAGCCAATTGTGATTCATGGAAGTTCCTGACAAGAGGTCACATCTCCACTCCTAATTATAAGAAAAATTCCAAATCTTGATTTCAGAGTCAACAGAAGGTCAGAGGCTGGAGTCCTGATGGGTATCAGTGCCCCTGCCTGTGGCGGCTTAGGCTGCCGAGTGGTTCAGCGACATCTGTGGGGCAAGGCTAGAGGCCAGGAGGCCACAGGAAAGTGCCCAAGACAAGTTTCCAAGAGGGTTCACACTTGGGCAGCTCGTGGAACCTGGCCCTTTGAGTGCACTTTGGGTCCGATGGGTCGGTCGCCAAGCGGGCCTGAGCAGCAGAGAACCTCGCCTAATGGCCCTTGGCACGCCGAGGCTCCATGGTCTGGGTGCAGCGGTGCTGTACAGCCTGTCGGATGTCTCAGCTCCTCATTGCGGAAGTGTTCCCAGCTTCCCGATAGGATACAGGTACCACATCACCACCCCCGAAGGGTTGATGATCACTGTGAAGATGGTTTCAGTCCGGAGGCCACTGATAATGCCACCCGTGTAGACATCCTGGGCCTGCAGCAGGGAGGACAGAAGCAGTGGCACCATAAGAAGAGCCAGGCAGGGGACACAGAAGCCTGGCCTCTGGCCTGTCTGTGCTGGGCCTCCAGCATGCACTGCAGAAGTGGGAGCCGTGACTCTGTCGCTTCTCCACTGATGCCCAGACATAGGCAGTGGTGAAAGCCTCGCCCACAGAGAACCTGAGCTCCGTGCCAGCAAGGGCTGACCAGTGAGGGGAGGAGCATGGCCTCCGTGGGTAACCAGACTCATTTATACGCAGTAATCCTGTTTGCTTAGCCTGAAGATGCCAGTGCAGAGCAGCACCAGCCTTGGCCCTCAATGCCTGCCGCTGCCCTTGAGCACCTGCCCCAGGACCCAAGGCCCACGGCTCGGCAGGCCTGTGTGAGGCCCACCCCCAGCACCGCCTCCCAGGGCAACGGGGCACTCCCTCCCGCAGGGGCTCACCTCATACAAGCTGGAGCTGGTGAAGTTGAGCAGGGAGAGGGACCAGTGGAAGCGGAAAGGCATGTCCGTCCTGCGGCTGAAGAAGACCACGGCGTAGGCATTGTTGTCCAGGGGCCGCAGGAACACTTCGATGAGGGACTTCGTCTGGGACAGAAGATGGCTGCTGCTGGGGTTCCTGCTCAGGCAGGCCCTCAAGTCCCCTTCCTGGCCCTCCCTGGAGCCCTGGGTCCCCCTCCCCAGCCCACAGTTTCATTCCACACAAAAGCTTGGGGGGGGGGCGAGGGTGATACCACAGCCCTCCAGTACCCCAACTTATCTAACACTACTTTCCTTCCCTTCCCTGACTTGGCAGATGCTCCCCAACACTTCCTGTGTCCAGCCCCATGCCAGGACACAGGCAGTACTGCATGAGGTCCTGCCTCAGAGCGCGCATAGGATGATGGGAAGGACAGACGGGGAGAGCTGCTGCACTGGAGTGGCTGGTGGGATGAGGCGCTCTGCCCTGAGCAGCCAGGAGCATGAACCCCTCCTCCCCGGCCTGGCAGGGATCAGTTACCTCCTCTGGGCCTTGCCACCTCAGCAGGCGCACCTACAGGTGTGTAGGGTTGTTCTTACTAGAGAAGGAAGGAGCGTGCAAAGAGCAGGAACTTGGGCAACATTTGGAATCAGGTCCTGTTGTGCTATTTACTAATGATGGGGCCTTGAGCTAAGTTCTTAGACTCTTCAAATCTCAGTTTCCTCTTGTAAAACAGGGAGGAGTATCACTCTTGTGAGGAAATGTATCTAGAATGCCCAGCACACAGTAGGTGATCAATAAATAGTAGACACCGGTATGAGTAATAGTTGTATTCCTTGGCTCATACAACTCCTAAACACTGTAGGGAAGCCCCCGGTTCTCCACCAGACATCACAGTTCTCTGCCAGACACCTATCCTTCTAACCTGCGAGGCCTCACTGTCCCCTGTGCACTGCATGGTGACATCTCCTTTCCCCAAACCCCATGAGCTGTCCTGCTCTGGCCCTGCCCTCACCAGGCAAGTGGGGACAGTTGGAATAGCCCCCAGTAGACTTTTCAACTGAAGGCACCCAGCCTTGCAGGCTCGTTCTCGGGGGAGCCTCGTCCCTCAGTCTTCCTTCCCCACACACACCACAATACCTTGAGAATCCTGCGTCCCTGGATGCCTAAGGGATCCTGGTTGATTTTGATCATGAGTGGGTTCTGCAGAATGTCCTTGTTCTGGGCGGAGATGGTCCGCAGGTCTGTGGATATGAAGAGGGGGGCCGCCAGCACTGTCCACAGGGCCATCTGGGCCCGAGCTTGCTCGAAACTGAGGCCAAAGTTCCCAATGAGCAACTAGGGGCAGAGGGGAGAAGTGGTCAGCCCTGCCCTCTTCAGTGGGGAGGGTACAGGCACCAACCCCAACCAGCCCCAAAGAGCTGAAGTAGCTGAAGCAAGTGAAGATGGAGGTGGAGGCACGGCCACATGGGAGCATGGTTTGGCAAACGCCATTCCCTAGCAGTGTGGTCTCGGGATGAGTTGAGTCACTTTCATTTGAGCCTCAGCTGCTTATTTCACACAAAAAAGGGGGTGGCCGAGACCGGTTTGGCTCAATGGATAGAACGTCGGCTTGGGGACTGAAGGGACCCGGGTTCAATTCCGTTCAAGGACATGTACCTTGGTTGCGGGCACATCCCCAGAAGGGGGTGTGCAGGAGGCAGCTGATCGATGACTCTCATCGGTGTTTCTGGCTCTCTATCTCTCTCCCTTCCTCTCTGTACAAAATCAATAAAATATATTTTTTTAAAAAAAGGGTGCTGGCATGTCACGGGTTGTTCAGATGATCCAATGGGATCTATTGCCAAAAGCATTTGTAAACTGAAACACACAAGTCAAGAAACACAGCCAGGGTGGCAGTGGTAGGAAACCAGAACCAGAGCCGGACAGAGTCCCTGCTCTTGCCAGTAGCCACCACCTGCCCTACCCACTGACCCAGGGCAACCAATCTAGATGGGACACAAACGATTACTGCTCACCCAACATTGTTACCTACTGAGTGTTACCAACTTAACTAAGCATGTACATGTGCCAAGCTGTGCCACGCATCTTAAAGGGTCATCCATTTCACCCTCCAAACAGCCCTACAGATAAGGTGGCTCCTGTTAATATTTTCATTTTCCAATTGACAAAACAAAGGCACAAGGAGTCCGCCAATGTTTCATTCTCACACTGATGTTTCTCTCTCTCCCTCTCTCAAAATCAATAAAAAATATTTTAAAAGGTATGCCAAAACCAGTTTGGCTCAGTGGTGGAGCGTCGATCTGCGGACTGAAAGGTCCCGTGTTCGATTCCAGTCAAGGGCATGTACCTTGGTTGCAGGCACATCCCCGGTAGTGGGTGTGCAAGAGGCAGCTGGTCGATGTTTCTCATCGACGGTTCTAGCTCTCTATCTCTCTCCCTTCCTCTCTGTAAAAAATCAATAAAAATATATATAGAAAAAAAATATTTTAAGAGAGAAAAATTACTAAAATTAAACACACACACACACACACACACACACACACACACACACACACACGGAGGCACAGAGAAAATTAAGCCACTTGCCTAAGGAACATGGCAGAGCTGGAGCTAGAACCCTAAGGCAGGCCGATTTCTGTTTCTCCAGATGCCCCACTAACTGGCCAGTATTTGTATTATTTTAATCATCACTGGTATTAAATGCTTGACTAAATGAAGAAGAGACAGCTATAAAACTCTAAGACAAATTGTAAAAATATTGAAGTCACCAGGCCTATGAGTGAGGTGGGTACGAGGGGCCGGTTCTGCCGGCGGAGGCTCTGCAGGAGGGTGACAGGGTGCAAGGCACTGAGAGAAGGGTTGGAGGCAGCCTGGGTGAGAACAGGCTGGGGAAGGAATGGACAGAAGCTGGGAAATATTCATGTTTTTCACTCTGCCGGGGAATGATGTCTCACATAGAGTCACGGCAGACCAAGTTCTCAAGTTCCAAGCAGCAGAATTGCCTGGGAAGACTGTCAACAATGGGCATTCCCAGGCCCTCTCCCAACATTCTGATCCAGAAGGTGGGGGTGGGGCGGGGCCCTGGGAACAGAATTGTAAATAAGCTCCAAGGCAAGCCATGCAGCTGGTTCAGACACTGATCTAAAACCCAGCAGTGAGCGGCCAGAGACAGAGCAAGTCCATCATGGGGATGGGCCCTGGGACATCCCCCCCCATGTTGGTACCATGTCTGGGTCGTTCCAATGTCCGGGGCCTGCCACTGGCTGCAGAATGTCCTGATGGTCCATAAACCAGTCCAGGATGGAGAGCACACTGCTCCAGGAATCCTGGATGTCATCATAGTTGCGCCACAGGTTACAGATCTCTGCCAGCTGACTGTAGTTCACCTGGGTGTCAGGGAGGCAGAGTCCGCACAGGAGTCACCCTCTGCTGCCCGGAGGCTGCGCAGGGGCTAGGAGGCTCAGCAGGAGACAAGAGGGTGGAGAAGGCAGAGAACCAACCCTCGCTTGTCCAGGAATGACAATGGCCCTGCTCTGGGGCTGCCCGGGCCTCCACTCCATGGATGCTGGTGCCAGAAGCCTGTCCTGCCCTTCCATGCCAGCTGGGGTCAAGCCCAGGGTACGGGCTCAAGGTGGTACACCACCAGCATCCCTGCTGCATACCCACCCTGTGTTCCTGCAATGAGTCTCACCCTCTGCCAGCGTTCTCCCTCAGGTCTGCAGGTCTGACCGCACCCTTTCTGGTGCCTTAAGTGCTCAGGCACCCACAGACTCTTCCGAGACGGGCCCCACCTGCCTATCCACACCAGCATTCTGGATCTCCTAGCCCACTCAGAACAGCCCAGGTTCTGACCACTGGATGGGTGCAGTGTGCCTGCACATCACGTGGTTCCCATGCCTTCAGCCCACCTACCAGGTGCCTCTTCTCTAAGACCCCAGGCTGCCTGAGGTGCCCTCTGGGGTCTTAGGACCTTCTCTCTAGACCTACAAATCAGCATGAGGGCAACTATGGTGAGGGCAGCCCTGACTGCACAGGAGGGGAGGAGGCAGTGTGGGGGACACTGCCAGGTGGGCACACAGAATGGCTTACCAAGGGGGGGAGGCCCCCTTCGTAGGCTGGCCAGCTGCAGGAGAAGGCGATGGGGCGGCCTGTAGCATTCAGGGCAGCAGCCATCATGGGGTACCCTGGAGAAGTCCAACCCCACATTTCAAGCCCGAGGAAGTGCAGGAAACAACCCAAGACCTCAACCCAAACATTCTCCCACCAAAGGTGAGGAAACTGGGGCTCAACAGAGGTGCTCCCCTGTGCCCAGTGCTGCAAACACTTCCGGGGGGCGGGGCACGGTGCCAGCCATCTGTAGGGAGCTGGGAGCCCTGGGTGAGGGGAATTGGGAAACACCACCTCCGAGGAGCCATACAGACAGACAGGCTCAGCCAGGTGGACACAGGCACCTCCATGGCCACCCTCCCTGTCCACCTGAAGGCCCCAGCCAGCTGTGTGACTCACCCTTGGCCCGTTCCTCCGGGGTCGAGAAGCAGCCATCCAGCTTCAGCATGTCCACCTTCCACTCGGCGAAGGTGTGAGCATCCTGGACCACCTTGTCTAGCGTGGTGCCTGGGAAACCCATGCAGGTGAAATTGCCCATGTCCTCGTAGATGCCCAGCTGTAGGCCCAGGGAGTGAGCCTGCGGGGGAGCCAAGGACACAGTGGGCTCAGGCAGGACCCTCAGGGAGCCACCTCACAGGCGCGTCTGGCCCAGCCCCACTCAAACCCTCCACGGTGCCCAGCGACAAAGGAGAGGGCTCCGCTTGCTGGCTGGCCTCGGCCAGCGCTGGCCTTCCCCTCCCTCCAACACACATGCTGGGCTGATTCTTGCCTCTACGCCTTCGCTTCTGCCATCCCCTCTGCCTTAAATGTCATCTCTCCGGTATCATCTCAAGAACTGCCTTCTCTTTGGAGAACTTTCCTGAAATCCCAGGTGGATGAGATGCCCTTCCTGGCTCTCCCCACCGCTGAGGGCCAACACTAGAGATTTGTTTGTTTCCCCGACAGACCGGGTTCTCAGACAAGGATTGTGGAAACAGAGCCCTAAGCAGGGTGAGGTGGAAAGAGTGATCGGCCCCCAGGCCAAGGGGCAGGGCTGGGGCGGGGCTCACATAGTCCGCCAGGAAGGCAATGCCGTTGGGGAAGCGCTTGGGACTGGGCATCAGGCGGCCTTTGGCATCGCGCCCACCAATCCAGCAGTCGTCAATGTTGAGGTAGGTGTAGCCCAGGTCCCGCCATCCGTCCTGTGCCAGCCGGTCCGCTGTCTCCAAGAAGAGCCGCTCACTGGCAAGAGGAGCAGGGGTGGAGCAGCTTAGCGGCCTAGCATGTTCCTCAGATGCTCTGAGTTCGAATCCAGACTACAAGAACCTTGGCCTTGGGGTCAGCGCAGACTAAGCCAGGTGACAATTGTAAATGACCCCAGGCAGGGTCATGAGCCCTAAGCAGGGTGAAGTTGAAGGGGATGGTCTAGCCCCCAGGCCAAGGGGCAGGACTGAGCCGGGGAGAGGGGGTGAGGAAGCACAGTGAGGTCTGGCCTAGCCTTCCCAGTTATCTCCTTTTGATCATCTCAGGGGCTGGGTCCACAACAAGGTACCTACCCCACCCGCCTGACAAGCCCCACTGGGGCCCCAAGCTTGTCACGAGGTTGTCAAATGTCCCAAAAGTCACCTGACTGCAGCCTCTCTGGGATGGGAGATGGGGGGTGGGGATCTGACCCTGTTCTCTTTTTCTCGCTGACTCTCTCCTCCCTGCCCCCACTCTGCAGGGCCGGGGCACAGCTTGTCAGGGTGTGGTGCTCACTCACCTGATGCAGTTCTCTGGATCCTCTTCACAGTCAATGTTGCAGCGAAAGCGTTCCCAGGCCAGCCAGCCCATGGGCGGCCTCCGCATGAGCCCGTTCTCCAGCACCAGCACCTGGCCCACCAGGGCTAGCAAGGGTGCTGCTGTAGGAGGGTTGGCGATGACCATGAGTGGCTCCCATGGCCAAGGCCCCGGCCCCCGCCCGCCTCCCTCTGCAGGCTGCCGGCCTGCACACTAGAGGAGCAGCTCCTGGGCTTGAGGGGGACCTGGCTCTTCCTGCCCCCGCCGGCTCCTGCATGCAGTGAATGAGCAGATGGTGCCGGAGCAGGTCAGTGTGTTTGAGGCCTGGGCACGTCCTCACTTGCTGCTGTTGCCACATCAGTGCTAGGATTAGCAAAAACTCACAGCTATCCTCTCTATTACACAGAACTCACAGTGCCCTGTAGCTGGATTCAGGTCTCCTGAGTCCCACCCAGGTCTTTGCTCTCCACCACAGATCCCCAAGAGACCTCGAAGGGCTAAAGAGATCAGCCAGGCCCTAGCTGATATGGCTCGGTGGATAGAGCGTCAGCCGCAGACTGAAGGGTCCTGGATTCGATTCTGGTCAAAGACAGGTGCCCGGGTTGCGGGCTTCATCCGCATGAGGGGGGCGTGCAGGAGGCAGCGGATGGATGATCCTCTCATTGATGTTTCTCTCTCTCTCCCTCCCCCTTCCTCTCTGAAATCAATAAAAATGTTTTGTAAAATATTTAAAAGAAGAAGAAAAAAAAAAAAGAGGTGAGCCAGGTGGGACCTGCACCCCAGGGTGAGCCCTTTTCCTCTTGGGCCTCAGTTTCCTTATCTGTAAAATGGAGTTAATGTAGGGACTTTACAGGGCTGTTCTCAGCACATGTTGATATCACCTAAGATTGGGCCCCTCGCTTTAGAGGGGAATTGATTCTTCAGGGGGGAGTTCCTTCTCTCCCCGCCCAGCTCCAAGAATAAGAGGAAGACGCCTCCCACACACGTACCCACATCAGGGGAGGAGGCCCAGACACCAGAGGGCTGGACTCCGGCCAGGCAGCCCCCACCCCCAGCTGGTCCCCGGCCCTCCGGAAGCCACCCTCTCCCATGTAGTTACCTGTCTTCCACAGCATTTCTGTGCACTCAGCGCCTAAGGAGAGGCCCAGATCTGCTTTACAACTTTATGTGCCGAACTCTGGAAGCTAAGAAACGTTAGAAAAGTACGGGCGTCAGTACCGCCCGACTAGCCCTGCGGCCTTCAACCCCGGGCAGGGACTCCCCAGCCCGCCTCAGGGCCCCCTTCCCGGCCCAGCCATCGCTCCCTCTTCCTTCGGAAACACTGAACCATGTGTCTCGGACATCAGACCTCCCCCATGCCCCCCGCCCCCTGCAGCGCTGGGCGCCCCGAGAGTCCGAGGGCGGCCCTCCTCGGCAGCGCCGGCTCCAGGTGACCCAGGAAGAGGGGAGACGCCAGGCCGAGACCGGGCTCCGGACTCCTCCCGGGTCCGGGAGGCCGCCTCTGGCCGCCCCAGGCAGCGGCCACAGCGCGGGGACGCCCACCCCAGAGGCCCCGGCCCGTGGCACTCACCTGCCGCCGCCTCCGACCCCCGCAGCGCCTGCCCCCCCGGAGCCGCGAAGCCCTGCGGCCGCCGGATTCTGCGAACTGGTTCCAGAGGGGCGGGGCCTGACGGCGGCCCGCCTTCCCCCGGAGCCAATCAGAAGCCCTCCAGCAGCGCCGTGCCCCGCCCCCTGAGGACCCTCCTACAGCCCCGCCCCCTGGGCTCCCGCTGGCTCCGCGCAAAGGGGGAACCTGCTTCGCCGCCCGCCCAGCTCCCCCAGCGGGACCTTTCTCCTGAGCGGGGCCTGTGGGCAGGGAAGTGTCTGTAGACGCGCAGTAACCGGCTGTGGCGTGGGTGCCTGCTGAGGGCTTTGTTAAGGGGGAGGGGGCCTGCCGGGGTTGGCTCAGGGAATGGAGCATAGGCCTGCGGACTGAAGGGTCCTGGTTTTGATTCCGGGCTGGGGGCGTGCAGGTGGCAGCAGATCAATGATTTTTCTCTCATCATTGATGTTTCTCCCACTCCCTCCCCTTTCCTCTTTGAAATCAATAAAAATATATTTTTTTAAAGAAAAGGAAATGAGGGGATACTCTGATTCCCCACCCATTCTCCTCCCAAGTTTATGTTTTCATCTTCCGCTACGGTTTTTGAGAGTCTTACAGGTTTTAAGAGTCTCATATCACAGGGTCTTGAGTGAGCTGTTGTAAAGGGTTAGCCAGGCTGCTGTGGAGAGAATAAATGTGGTTGTAATGTAAGTGGCTGCACTAATCCAGGCAAGATGGGATGGGGCTGGGAGTAGCGAGATGGCCAGATTCAGACACAACAGACCTCAGAGCCATTGCACTAGCTGCTCTCTCTGCCCGGAACGCTCTTCCTCCAGATACTGGCATGACTGCCGCTCTCATTTCCTTTCGGTATTTCTCAGATGAATACATGAGCTTGGGAGGAGAGTGGGTGGGGAATCAAACCAGGTGGAGGGCACAGCTCTTGCCAAACCAGGGGACTTTCCTTCCCACCTGACACTGCACACCTGTTACACTAGCCCAGGCACGCTGTATGTTTCTTCCCAGTTTCATTCACCAAAATGTTATTGACCAACTACTAGGGTCAAACACTTCATGCTTAGCACCTTCACTGTTGGTCACAAGCATCTCACACATAGCGGGCCCAAGCCGAACACCTGCCCCCTTCCCTGTCTCAGGTGCTCCTTGTAGGTGCTCCAGTCAATGCTTTGGAGTCCTCCTTCCTCCTCTTCTCTCTCTCCCCACACTGTCTCTCTGTAAATCCTGGTCTCCACTTCAGAGCGCATTCTGAATCTGGGCATCTCACTACTCCCAGCCCCATCCCATCTTGCCTGGATTAGTGCTTACATTTTATTATCAGCTCACCTTTCAACCACATTTATTCTCTCCACAGCAGCCTGGTTAATCCTTTACAACAGCTCACTCATGACCCTGTGCTGTCTGTTCATCTCAACCTGGAGTAACAGCCTCCACAGGTTCACAAAGCCCCGCCTGCACATCTGACCCCACCTCCTGCTCACCCCCCACCGCACTGCGGCCCAACACACTGGCCTCCTTGCGGTTCCTCAAACACAGCAGGCCTCAGAGCACTCTGCCCGGAACGCTCTTCCTCCAGACGCTGGCATGACAAGCTCTATCATTTCCTTGAAGTGTTTCTCAGATGTCACCTTCTCAATGAAGCCCATCCTGATTATCCTATTTAAAACTCAACCTCCCCATTCCCACATGTTCGTCTCCCTTACCATGTTCTATAGTTCCCTCACCATGCATTACCTTCTAATACATTCATGATGGTTTACGATATTAATTGAGTGAAATGTAGCGAGGGCTATAGGTAATACACGGGAAATGAAAGCACGAGTGTAAGCACGTTTCCTATAGTGGTTGGTGCTATGATGAGCATGCCACACAACCCGGGAGGTGACAGATGGAGGGTAGGTGACAGGGTTCAAACAGGCCTCCCTATGATGTGCTACTTTGGCACGCAGATTATTCTGAGCTGAAGGCAAAATAGGAGAAACTTCTGCACTCCCACAGCTACCTAGAAGAATTTAAATTAGGAGCCTTGCCCATACAGAGTTATTACCAGATATGACGTTTTATGGCGGATCTCTATGGCAGGGCAAACATCTGCTCCACTTATCAATCTGTGAACTCTTATAGCTCTCCTCCCTCTGAAGCCCAGGCCCCTTATCACATTCCTTAGCTCAGGATACTGTGGATACCGCATTTTACCGTTCTGTCTCTCAACCTCCATGTATGTGGGGGTCTCTGAATGTCTCATGGATGTGGGAATGTCATTAAATTCGGTTCTTTTCTCTTCATAACCTTTCTCGTGTTGATTTGATTGTGTGGCCAGCAGGAAGAGCCTAGAAGGAAAGAGGAACTTTTTTCCCTTCCCACACAGAAAAGAGGTTTGAGCTGAGACATAACTGGTATGAAGGAGTCCCAGCAGTTAGAGCTGAGGGATAGGGATGAGCAGGAAGAGCCTTCTGGGCTGCGGGAACCGCAAGGGGGGAAGCTCTGAGGTGGGAACAAGCTCGAAGTCATGGTTTGAGCTTCCTGACTTCCAGGGACACAGGGAAACCCCAGCCTCCTGCATTGGGGGGCAGGGGTGGGGACGGGCAGCAAACCTTATCCTCGAAGACTGATTCTGTCTTTGCCACTTTATTTAGCACAGGTTCATTGTGGGAATTACAATTTCAGAAGTCAACAGCATATCTCTTAATAAACCATTCTCCCCAAAAAATGACAGATTAAATCACACCAATGTTCCAGGCAAGGGGAGGTGAAGGAATAATGTTGAAATCTGAGGTGTGGCATTTTTCCATGAGGATTCTGGAGAATCAGGGACCAATTAAAAAGCTGATTTCCAGCTGCCAGCCCAAGGGTAAAAGTCCCCGCTGCTAGAGCTCTGTTGCTAGGGAACCAGAAGGCCAGTGTTAGTTTGGAGGGCTGAGCTGCTGGAGGATTAACACTTCTGAGACCACTGCAAGGTTTAACACCACAACCCCCATCACCCCACCCCACCCCCACCCTCGGCTTGGTCACTAGTAGGAGCAAATGTCCCAAGGTCTTTGGAGAGTTTTTAAGTTACAGAGTGTCGCTTTGCCCAAACCGGAACCTCAAACAGTCCTCACCTCCTCAGTATTTACAGTAAATGTCCCTTCTATAGGGTCCTTAAGGATAAATCCCCAGCAGGCCCAGCAGCAGCAGGGCTTCTGGCTGCTTAGGGCCTCCCCATGTAGAATGAGGCCATCCTGACTTCAAACATATCAAAGCAACTTTTCTGGGGGGGGTCATAAGCACGTGGATGAAAACAGCTTCACTTAAGCCATAAGCAAGTGGGTTGACTTGAAACCATATTACGCTAACACACAACACAGGCCTACCGGTTGGGCCTGGGGGGTGGCGCGGGGCTTGCAGGCCATTGGGAGTGTCACAGGGAGAAACAGAAAACCCCCGAAGCAAAGAACGGGTGACTCCAGGGCCCAGTGGCGTGGCCAGGAAGCTCAGCGGGGCCTTGCAGGCTGAGTAGGAGCCCGCCCAGAGGAGGGCCGGGCTGGGCCTCCGGGCTGGGCCTCCCGGGCTGGGCTTTGCTGAGGGAGAAGTGGGCGGGGCAGGGAGAGGGGGACCGCAGTGGGAAGAGGAGGCCTCCGAGCCCTCGGGCGGGCGGGGAGGAGGGGGTGGAGGTGAGGGGTGGATGAGTGTGAGGACGACAGACGGCCTGAGGCGGGGCCTTGGGTTCGAGGCCGCCAGCCCCTGACCAGCTCTGTGGCTCAGGCAGGTCTCGGCCTCTCGGGCCTCAGTTTCCTCCCCGCGAAGATCGAGGGGCATCTGGTGAGTCCTGGACGGGCAGGGAGGGGGCAGCAGTGGAGCCGCCCAGGCAGGTCCTCCGGCGGCCGCGGGAGCGCAGGGTCCGAGTCGGGATCGCCCCGGGGAGCGGCCGCAGCCCAGCACCGGGCCACCCGCCCAGGCTCGGGAGGAAGCGGCCGGGGGAAGGCGTGGCCGCGGGGACGTGGCGGGGCGGTCCCTTTGGCCCCGGGAAACCCGGAGCGCGGCGGCCGGGCCCAGGCCAGCGGGGAGGTCCCGGCGCCGCTGCCCCTGCTGCCCGCTCTCCGCCGCGTCCTCCCGGCCGCCGCTCCGAATAAAGGAGGCGGGAAGCCCATCACCCTCCCTCCCGGCGTGCGGCCGGGCTTCGCCATCCTGGGCGGGTTTTAGGGGGCATCCCCCCTGGCACACGGCGGGGCGGGTGGGTTCCCGACCCCCTCCCTGCGCCCGGGGCTGGCCCAGGACCTAGTGAGGCCACCTCTCTCATCTCCAGCTCCTCCGCGCCTCCCCTCCCCATCCCAGGACCCAGTTTGTTTCTCTCTCAGCCCTCATGGTGACCGGTCCTTACAGAATTTAGTATTCCGTTATTTTTCATGAATGCATTATTGTGTTTGTGTTTGTTTCCAGTGAGTCTCCCGCTGGAATGTGGGTGCGGGTGGGAGGGAGGGCCTTTGTGTGCCCCGCTGGGCATTCCCACCACTGCAATTCTTCCCGGGCAGGCTGGTATGGGGCATCTCCCTGGAGCCGAGCCAAGCCCCTGGCTGGGCACCCCGAGGCTGGGGCAGCACTGCCAACCCCAGGGAGGGCTGTGAGGTGAAGGAAAGGAAAAGAAGGGGCTGTGGTTGGGCCATGCTGGGTCAGACCACCCTGGCGGTCAGCAGCCGCTTAGATAATGTGCTCAGGCAGGCCCCTCAGATTAGGGGATTAAATTAAAGCCCACAAGTAAACTGAGGAGAGCTGGGAGGGAAAAACGGAAGCTCTGAGGGCACTAACAGTGACGGAGCCTCAGAGGGCCCAGACCACAGGAGCCCGCCCTTTATTGCTCCCAGGGGCCTGGCCTGGGTGGGCAGTTTGGTAGGGGGTTATCGGGGCCCTGGGCAGCTTCCTGGAGGACGCAGTGGTTTTACTGGGCCCCAAAGTTGGAAGAGTTCTCATCCTTTAGGACAGGCTGACTGGGTTTGAGAATTATTTTGCAGGCGCACTGGAGATCACGTGGTCAAGTGGTTGAGCCTTGTGGCCAGACCAGAGAGGCCCCTGCCTCCCGCTAGAAGCTCTGCTGGTAAGTGCGTCACGGCCAAGGCTTGTCCCCGGAAGGTGTGAGGGAATGAGGGGACCACGCTGTGCTCCCACTGGCCCTGTGGTTGTGTGCAGTTCACCTTCACTGCTCCCTGCCTCAGTTTCCCAAGCCCTAGAGGTCTGACCTCAGCGTTGGCACTACGGGGTCCCTAGATTAGGGGGTGGTTTAAGCACAGTGGTTTCAATGGACTTGGGGTCCATTTTTGCTCAGCTGGGCCGGCTCCTTTGGATTTTAAAAAGCCGTGTCACAACCCTGCCTGCCACACCTCCCGGTCTGATACAATCACATTCTCCTTCTCTCCTCTGACGTCCAGTGCTTTCCATGACCCTCACAATAACCTTTGAGAGAAAGGGGTTGGGGGGATGGAGGGTAAAGGCAGCCGTTTTCTCAGGTGAAGCCACTGAGAGCCTCAAGCAAACAGCAGGGAGTGGAGGCCACAGGGCTGGGCCCAAGCATCCCCGAGAGCCAGCACTCCCCCCACAGGGACACGGGGCGACCTCCCTCTCTGACCATCCACCTCTCTTGCCCCCAGTTCTGATGGAGCCATGAAGCTGAACGAGAGGAGTGTGGCCCACTATGCGCTGAGCAACTCCCCGGCAGACCACAGGGGCTTTCTGCGCACTTGGGGGGGCCCGGGGACCCCGCCCACCCCCAGTGGCGCCGGCCGAAGGTGCTGGTTTGTCCTCAAGGGCAACCTGCTGTTCTCCTTCGAGACCCGAGAGGCCCGGGCCCCCCTGGGGCTGGTGGTGCTGGAGGGCTGCACGGTGGAACTTGCCGAGGCTCCGGTGCCTGAGGAGTTTGCCTTCACCATCTGCTTCAACGCCCCTGGTGTGCGTCCCTACCTGCTTGCTGCCGATGGCCCGGCCGCCCAGGAGGCCTGGGTGAAGGCGCTGTCCCGGGCGAGCTTTGGCTACATGCGCCTGGTGGTGCGGGAGCTGGAGAACCAGCTGCGTGATGCCCGCCAGAGCCTGGCCTTGCATCACCACGCCTCCTGGAGGGCCGTGACAAGCCCCTGCAAGCCCCAGCCTCCCGGCCAGCGGTCTCGGGGCCTGGAGAACGGCCACACCCTCTCCAGGGAGCACAGCCCTCTGGGCTTGGTGGAAGCAGGGGGCAGCAGGCCAGCAGGGCGGGGCTTGGCAGAATGTGAGCTGCAGGGCCCTGCCAGCCTCCTCCTAGGCAGGGGCCAGAGCCCCGTGTCCCCCGAGACCTCTTGCTTCTCTACCCTGCACGACTGGTACGGCCAAGAGATCCTGGAGCTGAGGCGGGGGTGGCAGCAGAGGGCCCGGGGGAGCCAGCCCAAAGGTCAGCAGCAGGATAAGCCCTGAACCTAGACCCTTTGGGTTCTGCCCTAGTCCTGCTGGTCAGGACACCAGGGCCAGTTCTTTTTTTTAGGAGTTTGATGTTTACTTGTTTCCAAAGTTGCCTTTTTTGAGGAGGTTCTCCAGGTTTCAGCTCCTCCCTCACACCTGGAGAGAACCGAGGCATCATTACTTGTAACCCCTTCATTTCCGGAGGCTCAGACTGCAAAGGTGGCTTGCTCAGCAGTCACAGAGGGTGCCCAGTCTCCTGACACTGTGGCGGACTGCCCCTCTCTTAGGGGATGTTAGTGAAACGGAGAAAGTAGGGAATATCACCTGCCTACAGGCCAGACTCAGCCAGTCCCCAGCATGCGAAGTTTTGTGTGCATTTGAAAACGAGACGTTGTCTGCAATGTTGGCTTCAGACGGGCAGTATCAGAGAAAGTGGATTTATTACATCCTGGGGGTTTCTGGGGCTACGCTCTCCTGAGTGGTGGGGAGATGGGGCATGTGACCCCCATCTACAGTCTGGGAGGGTCCTTTGGGGGAGAGGGCCTCCTGCCAACACAGAGGGAGGTACTCTGCTCAGAAAGTGCTGGGGCCCCGTCCTCTCTCTCCTGACAACAGGCGGTGCTGGATGCTGACCCAGGAGGGACTGGTAGCTTTTATGTCAGCAGAAATCCTGACTGCACTCGGTACGCAGCTGCCAGCTCCTGGGCGGCCCAGAGGGAGGCTGAAGAGGTGGGCAGGCAGTGTGGCTCCCCAGAGAAAACCCGTTTTATGTGGTTCTCAGTCCTGGGCATTCTAGGAGCTTGGGCACAGGATACCCTGTGATAAATCCTCTCCTGCCTGGCTCCCAAAGAGGACTTGTTCACAGTCCTGCTTGTCACCCAGTGGGTACCTGCCAACACCCTCTCACTGCCACTCTCACTAGCAGGCCAGATGTTTTCTTTTTCCATTATTCTGGCAGGCAAAAGTGGCTGGCTCTAGAGAGCCAGAGGCCTGACTAGGCTGATGCCCAATGGGCATGGATGCAGAGACTGCGCAGAGAACACCCCCACGCCCAATACACCATCTGCCCCTTAGCTTCTATCACCGGGGCCTCGGCAGCCTGACCAAGGCCCAGCTAGCCCTAGAGCAGTGGTTCCCAACTTTTTCTTGGCCGTGTCCCACCTAAGCATCTCTAAAGTCCTGATGCCGCCTCTCCTGTGACACAGAATTCTTATTACTGAAAAAGTGAGCTCCTATGCACGTGGAGGAAGCCTAAAAGGCCACTAACGTGATCTAAACAGGCTTCCAAAGAACATGGCATCATGAAAGAAAAAAATAAAAGAACGAGAGTAGACATAATGAAAGAAATTATTAAGGAATTTCTTAAGGACAGTAGACATAATGAAAGAAATTACTAAGACATAATAGAGAACTGAAATACATAAATATGTTGCAATATATATTTATAGACTGTATAGGCGTTCCCTAGAAATGCAAAAAATTCACTGATCATGACTCTCGAATTCTCCCCCTTAAAAATCAAAATGTGCCCCACGCTGGGAACCACTGGCCTGGAGGCTGAGGGTCAGTGCCTTGGAGTAAAGGCCGGGAGGCTGAGGTGCGGGCCCGGGGGCCAGACCTGCTCCTGCCGGACCACTTTCCCACGAGGAGGGGCGCCTTCTCAGCCCTAAACGGAAGCTCCACAACCTTGTTTACATAGACATTCCAGGCCTCTCTCTTCCTTATTGTTACAGTGGCTTTTGTACGATTAAAACACTACGTTCTTTACTCCGCTCTTCGTTTACTCAAGTTTATTTCAGCCACCACCGGAGGGCCGCTCTGCCAAGTGGTCCTGGGAGCGAAAGTGAAAAGACCTGACGAGCCGAGACCGGTTTGGCTTAATGGATGGAGCGTCGGCTTGGGGACTGAAAGGTCCCGGGTTCGATTCCGGTCAAGGGCTTGTACCTTGGTTGCGGGCATATCCCCAGTAGGGGGTGTTGCAGCTGGTCGATGACTCTCTCTCATCGATGTTTCTAGCTCTCTATCTCTCTTCCTCTCTGTACAAAATCAATAAAATATGTTTTAACGAGTCCCCCTCCCGGCCCGCCCACCCAGCCTGGGCGTCGGCGGCGCCCTCGTGACGTCACGACGTCGGGTTGGCCCGGCGCAAAGGCCTCCCACCCACCGCCGCTGGGACTGGGCGCACTGCGCGACGGCACGGCGAGGCGGCCTCTCGGCTGCTCCGGAAGCCTCGCGAGGATTGAGGCAGCCTTCTTTCGGAGGGCGTCGCCGGGCCAGGCGCCGGGGTCCGGGGTCCGGGGATGGCGTCCGGAGCGGCTCGCTGGCTGGTATTGGCATCTGGCCAATATGGGGCTCTCCGGAGAGGGCTGAGCTTGAAGAAGGATGGAGCTATCTCCGCCGGTCGGGGCGGCTCAGGTCGGAGCCTGGTACCGTCGAGGTCAGTCATCGTTACTCGCAGCGGCGCCATTTTGCCCAAGCCGGTGAAAGTGAGTGTCTGCCTGGAGGCGGGGCCAAGGTGCCGAGGCCAATCGTAGTGGGAAATGTGTGCGGGTCGGCTTTGATTGATAGGAGCAGTGGCCAATCAAACGGCCGTCTGAACCCGGAAGACGGATCAAGGGCAGTTTTACGCTAATGCGCTTATTTTGACTGGTGGGAGGTGGGGTTGGGTCCCAGTGCTAAGGGGGGTGTTTATAGACTGAAGAAAACTGAGCATTTTGTACTATCTTTAGGAGCGCGGTGCCTAGATCCACCTCTGGTGCCAGAAGACCCGACTTTATGAGTCCAATGTAAATAAATCCTGCAATGAGTCCAATGTAAATAAATCCTACCTCAGAGTTGATGGGATCACATAACGAATTATGAAAGGACTTTGTAAGTGAAGTGTAGGTGGGACGGGACTTACTTTTTTTATGAGTTTTGACTTAGTACTTAAGTCATGTGATTTGAAGTCCTGAGGGGTGAGCAGGGGATTATCACCATCGATGTGCTTACAGGTGAAGAAGGGCTGGGACGGGGGCGGACAGAATGGTGTACAAAGCTAGCAGCTGAATTTGGTCCTGGACACTGGTTTCCTGCTAGTACAGCCTCCACCAGGTCCTATTTTTTCCGTCACTGAATGCCTTCACATGTCCTCAACACCCCGGGCTTTCTAAGTAAAATGTAAACATGCCTTATACAAAACAAGTTGGCTTTTTGACTCCCCAAACCATGTGGGGATTTCAAAACAAAAATTCTTAAAAGCTAGGCCGGCCTGTGCTAGTTCACACAGACAGGTGAGTTCCCGGCTGTTTCATAGCCAGACGCAGGAAGGTGCAGGGTGCGCGTAGGGGAAGAGATGCCTTATAAAAAGACATCTCTGAAAAATGTTTGAAACCCCATTGGAAAATACAAGAGAAAATATTGAGATTTTGCGAAACAACCCAGTCCATTTAAAAAGTTAGACTTTCAGTGTAAAAAACATGCTCACTTTTCAAAACACAACTGTTTCTAAATTTTAATTTGGTGAAATCAAATTTGCCTTTAGGAAACCTGTTGTTTCAAGAACTCTAAAGAATATCTTTTTTGTGTACATCTTTTTATAATCCATTTTCATGTATATAGTGTCTTCCAGTAAAACTGAACTTTACTTCCAGAGTCTAGCACTCTTAGTACTTCTCACCTGTTTCTCTAAGTATCTGCAAATAATGACCATATTGTGCTCCAATTTTTATTTTATTTTGAAACATATTTTTATTGATTTCAGAGGAAGGGAGAGGAAAAGAGAAATATCAATGATGAGAGAGAATCATTGATCAGCTGCCTTCTGCAGCCCCCTCCCCCCACTGAGGATCAAGCCCACAACTCTGGCATGTGCCTTGGCATGTGTTCATAGGTTGAAGCTCAACCACTGAGCCACACTGGCTGAGCTTGATTTTATTTTTTAATCCTCACCCAGGACATACTTATTGATTTTAGAGAGGGGGGAGGAGTAGAGAGAGAGAAACATTGATGTGGGAGGTAACATAGATTGGTTGCTTTCTGTAGATGCCCCGGCTGGGAATCAAACCCGCAACATTTCAGTATACGGACGCCGCCAGAGCCACACCAGCCTGGGCATGGGCTCCAGTTTTCAGATGTCTAGAATACCTTTATCTTTCCTTTCTGGTATCCACTTTGATGGCCATAAAATCACTTATCTCTTCTTATAATTTTCCGCTTTGAGTTTTCCCAACGACTTTACAATCAAGTTTATGATGGGGCTGGAGTCCATAGGAGGGAGTGACCCTGGGAGGGCAGGCCCCTGCACCTGGCACAGTGGGCCCTGGAGCTCATAGCCACCGCTCTGACCCTCCACAGATGTCCTTCGGCCTTCTCCGGGTGTTCTCCATTGTGATCCCCTTCCTCTACGTGGGGACGCTCATTAGCAAGAACTTTGCCGCTCTGCTTGAGGAGCATGACATCTTTGTCCCAGAGGACGACGATGACGACGACTAACAGGTGAGACGGGCTATTCCCTGCCTGGACCAGGAGCAGAAGGGGGTGGAGTCTGAACTGGTAGTTTGGCCTGGGGGACACTGGAAGTGCAGGCCTTTAATGAATTGACTCATTTGGTGGCTGCTGTTTTTAATTTGCCTTTTCTCTATGTTGGATGAGGGAAACTGTCTTATTGACATAAATTCACTGCGGTTTCTTCCAACTAGGTTGGACCACAGCCAGACTACCTGTCTATCTAATTTAATCTCTTATCTATTTATTTTTATCCTCATCGGAGGATATGTTTTTATTAATTTTTAAAAGATAGAGGAACAGTGTGAGAGGAAAACATTATCAGTTGCCTCCCATACCTATCCCAACTGGTGATCCACAAACTAGGTGTGTCCTGCAACCTTTGTTGTTGTACAGGACAACTCCACCAGCAAGGGCTCATTTGCCCTTCATGTGCCTCGTCCTCACCACCCCAAAATTTCCTCGACACTTACACACTCACTACAAACAGCTTAATTGCAGTGCTTCAAATGGAAATTTAGAAACTGCAGATTCTCACCATAAACAGCTCTGATTACCAAGCTCTGCACCAGCACAGCCTGTACGTGGTCACCATGCTCATAAACCCTTCCCCCAGTACATGTCCCACTCGGCTTCCTGTGTTGACTTCCGGTGCTCTGATATGCATTGTATGGCTGCGTTATTGTCATAGATAAAGATACTCCTGATTCTTTAGTCTGGTATTCAAAGCTTGCTATGATCTGGTCACACCTATGCTAGCCTCATCTTCCATATTCCCAGCGTTACACCTATCCTCAGTACTCACCAGTTCTTGGATCACTCACTGCAAGCTCTGGCTCATTGTTCCTCCCACTTAGGAGACTATGTCCACTGCTCCATGTCCACCGCTTCGTTCTCTTTGGTGAAGTCTTCCCACTTTCCTCCATTTGAAAGTGATTGCTCCCGCCGAAGCCGGTGCGGCTCAGTGGTAGAGCGTCGGTCTGCGGACTGAAAGGTCCCAGGTTCGATTCCGGTCAAGGGCATGTACCTTGGTTGCGGGCACATCCCTGGTACGGGGTGTGCAGGGAGCAGCTGGTCGATGTTTCTCTCTCATCGACGTTTCTAGCTCTCTCTCTCGCTCCCTTTCTCTCTGTTAAAAATCAATAAAATATATTTTTTAAAAAAAAGTGATTGCTCCTTCTGACTGGCCAGTACCTCTCTGGTGACCCTCCATATTATGTTTAAACACATACACCCCAAACTCTACTAGACTATGAGCTTCTTGCTGGCAGGGAAATGATTTTTATACATTTAGGGCCCCATGCCTGGTCTGTGGTGAATGCTTAGTAAATGTACGAATGAATTGACCGAAAACTGCTTCTTTCCTGTTTGATGGGACCATTCTGGAATTCTCTCTCAGTATGTGGATAAAGGGCTGCTGCTGCCCAGTTCATGCTGCTTTCCTCTCTTACAGGTGCTGAAGTTCAGGAAAGAATCAAGAAATGGTGATGCTTAGCCCCTCCTCCTTGCCTATCAGCAGAAGGGACTAAGGAAAGCCCTCAGCCTCCCAACTCCAGTGAAGCCTCCTGCCCGGTCCATAACCACAGCCCTCTGTTCCAGGCGCTGGGAGGTTCCCCGAGGTGTGCACTCCACTGAGCATAGCCAGATGATGAATAAACATGACAAATGCCAACTATGTATGAGTGATGGCTGGGTTTCTCAGTATGAGTAGGTTCTAGCTGTTGTAGTTTCTTGTCTCTGCTGTTTGTTCTCAAATAAGCCATAAATTGACAACCCAGGGTCTCCAGGCCTTTATGGATCCATAATTATGGGGCCTGGCACCTATTTTCATGATTAACAAAACCCCAACAGAAACTTTTTCCTCAGTAAAGCTGCACAGGCTAACTAAACCCTCAGACTTTTGTGTGGAATAACACTGGCTAATCATCACATGCAGTCTATCAAAGCTTTGGTTGTTAGTTTAAAACTCCAAAATATAAAAATTATTATTTTAAAACTTGGTGTCTTAGAGGAAAATAGAACGTTGGTGCTATTTGGGAATTCTAAGGGTGACTACAGTGAGCCCTTCTCCAGCTGTTAGACCGTCCAGGGAAGGAACGGAGACTGCTGTCCAAAGCAGAGGTCACTTTCACCTCGTCCAACACTTATTGTCCCTGGGAAGCTGCAACCATGTGCAGAAACAGTTGGAATATTTATTCTCCGGGTGTGCACTGAACATGTGTGCCCCAGTGGGGAGCCTAATTGAGTAGGAAGTTCATTTTATTTTAAGGACCCGTGCTTGTTGCAAACAGAGGTTAAGCCTCTGATCAGCCACTTCCTCCAAAACCCAGGGGAAAATAGCCCCGTTTGTGTTCTCCTCCCTCTCCACCAGCAAGAGCTGGCTAATTTGGGATAATCTGTGTGATGACACTAACCATCCAATCCTGGAGGCTGTAGAAACAGCTAAATTACCGAAGTCATCCAGCCTCATACACAGTATGACAGGTTCTGAACAGATGGCCTGTGTTTCCTATTTACCACATGCGAGGCTCTGAGAAGAGAATCCACTCATTTATCGGCAACTCCACACTCCAGGAAAAGGGAACAGGTGGTGTGTAAACCCCTACCCCACTCGTTCAGGAAAAAGTAAGAGACTGCAGAAACAGAGCCTCGCATTGGTTCACCAATGGAGTCCTATGAGACAAAGTGACCATCATAAACAGTTTATTTGAATATAAAGTACTTAAATATCAACATGCACCTTCCCACTGAATGACTTCATGGGTCGTGGCCAACATAGAACTTGGACAGGAAATCCTTTGGCCTTGGAGCTTCTGTTTCATGGAAGAACCGCATCACGTGTGTCCGCTGCTTCCACACTTTGATAGTTTCCTCCAGTTCCATCTTTCCCTGCACAGTGAGGGGAGAGGTCTTCAGTCAAAGTGGTCCAGTGAAAGGAATACTACACTGAAGGCCAGGATTCTACTTTCTGCTCTGACACTGACTAGACTGACCTTGGGTAAGTAATGTACTCTGTCTAGACCGGTTTCTGCATCTGCAAACAGGTGTTGTACTAAGTGATATCTGAGGGCTTTCAAATATTCTTTAACTGTGGCTGACCGGTCTAAGGAGAGAATTCCAGGTCAATGGGCCCCTGCCCCACGACACCTAACCTGACAGGCTTAACATATTTCTGCTTAACATGCTGCAGCTCCTTCCTGTTGATGCTCGTGACAGATCAGACAGAATCAGGGCCAGGATTTGACCCCATTCACACAGGACTTGGCCAACCAGCCAGCCTCTTCCAACCTCTAGGGAAGTGTTGAAGTGTTCAAACTTTCATCCCCACACCTTTTGTAGTTATAAAATGCAAGCCCTGATGGGTTTTCCCTTGAACAATCTTAAGTCTCTTCATCCAGGTGATAACCTCCAAGTTCAACTGTTCCAGGCGACAGTTGCTGACCCAGCAGTTGCTTTTTAAACTTGGAAACAAAATGTTGACCTGGGAAGGCTGGAAAGCTCTGGACAAGTTGGGCATTCTTTTTAATCGGTCAGGGAGTCAGTTACCTTAATGACCAGAAGATCCACCACTCTGGGGTCTGTGACGTGGGCATTCTTCATAAACATTTCTCGGACTTTATCCCGTCCCTGTTTCACAGAGATGTCCAACTGGAATAAGTTCACTAAAGAGAAAACATGACCAGGGTAGAAATTATATGGTTAAAACAAGTTTTTAAAATTTTGATCTATAAATATTCATTAAACACACAGAGGTTGCCAAATACTAGCCTGACCCCAAGCTAGGTGGTTGAGGATGTGAGAAAGTGTGAGACTTGCCCTCAAAGAACTTATATTTTGTTTGGGGAGACAAGGCCACTGCATTTGAATGACAGTAAGAGCATAGTCCAAGTGTATGAACGACCTGGGTTCAAAGTCTGTCTCTGTCACTTGCCAGCTACATTTCCCTGTGTACGATAACTTCTCTGGGTCTGAGAGCATTATATGTGATGAAGTGAAGATAGCAATGGCAACATTTAACTCCAGAGCTGTTGGGAGGATTCTAACAATGCGAGGTGCCTAGAACAGTGCCTGACATGGAATACACCCTCAATAAATTAATATTACATTATATGGAACACTTGCCAAAAGATAACAGGTTGGAATGAAGGTAAAATGATGTGTAGGTTTGTGAGTTGAGGGAGAATGCTGAGGGTTTGTGCAGGCAGGGAGGGCTTTGATCCAGCTGGCACTACCATGTTAGGTTACTGGGGGAAGAAGAGAGAAGTTTGACATAGGTCCTGTTCTCTTGGTCTTAAATTCTAATTAGAGGGACTGCTGCAAACATGAAATCACAATATTCAGCAATCCCTGGTTAAATATGTGCCTGAAACAAGGGCAGAGACTCAATGACCTGGACTTCACGTGAAGCACATGGATGTCCTTTGAAAATTAGATTGCAGTCGTTTTATTCCATCCCAGGCAGTCAGCCCACAGTGGATTTGCTGACAAGGGCATGAACAAAGCCTTGTGAGGTAGGTGCAATCCTACATAGTAAAGAGGGAATATGCAAATTGACTGTGACACTATCACAAAGATGGCAGTACCCACAGCAGAGGTTGAGTTCCCTTAAAGAGCAACCAGCAGGGACCTGAGGCTGCACGGTGCTGGGCCGGGGCAGGGGACCTGAGGCTGTGCCCCCCACCCAGTAGGGCTTTACAGGGGACCTCAAGGTGCACTCCCCGGCCTGGTGCTGGGCCAGGGAATCTCAGGCTGTGCCACCTACCCTGGAACCGGGCCAGAGGACCTGAGGCTGTGCCCCCCACCCTGTGGGGCTTGACAACAGCCCTAAGGCTGCGCCCCTAGCCTGGCAGGGTCTGGGTCTCACCAGATTTTGAGGTGCCCCAGGTGGGCGGGGACTTGACTCTGCCCCCCCACTCCTGCCCTGGCACACCCCAGACTCTGACAAGAGGAAGATTTTCATATACATTTTACTAATTTTCTTTCATCTCTGACACTTCTACTATAAAGAAAGGTCAAATAGCAATATTAAAATATTCCTTAGAGAACTTCTACAGAGAGGCTTCTGCTAGGGTAAGCCCTCTAAATAACAACAGTGATAATAACAGCAATAAAAAAGTAGCAGCCAACACTTAGGAGAGCCTAAGTGCCAGGCCCTAAACTAAGCACTCTAGAGATATTAACCTATTTAATATGGTAACTCTTGGAAGAAGGTATTATACTATTATCCTCCTTTGATAGATGAGGAAATTGAGGCACAGCAAGGTGAAATCACTTGCCCAAGGTCACAAAGAGAGTAAGGGGCAAGGTCTGGAGGCAAGTCCAGCGGCCACCACCTTCTACTGGTCACACACAGCCCGAAGAGATGCTGTGGTGCTCCCGCTGGCTTAAAAACGCCTTCCCTCTCAGACTAGCAGCGATGGCGTGCATTAACACATACAGTCAATGACATAAAACATGAGTACCGACTGCCCTTGACAGCTTAGAGGGCTTTCCCCAACCTTCCTTTCATGTGGTACAGTGGGTGGGAAGCACTGGGGGGGATGCCATGATAAGGAAAGTCTGCCCCCTGCGGTTTATACTTAATACATCAGGTGAACAGACTGATGTATTAAGTACTAATTCTCTGACATCTAGGCGATTGCAGTTCTGAAGGGGCGGAGGGCAGGCCACCTGGGGGGGAGGAAGGGGCTCCTAAGGATTAGTAGGGGCAGGCAGAAACAGCATGGGGAGCAAGATTTAGAGATGGAAGGGGGAGGGCGAACACCTCACGGGAGGGAGGAGGCATCCCTGACATGGATGACCTTGGGAAAGTCACTTCCCTCCTCCGGCTCAGTTTCTTCCTCTGTGAGAGCTGTGGGAAGCAGACGGTGGCCCAGCCCACGGCCTCTCTGGCTGTACAGGTAAGCCAGGGGCGCTGGACATGTTCTGAAGCTAGACTTGCCTTGGGTTCCAGACCCACCAGGCTAGCTCTGGGCTCTGGGCAGCCACTTCGCCTCTCCGTGCCTCAGTTCCCTCCCTGCACAGTGAGTAAGTCATTGGCAGTCCTTGCTCCCCGTCCCAGGTCTCGTTTTGAATTAGGGGGAAGAGGGGGAAAGGAACGGAAGAGGGGAGACGGGGGGTGGGGAGAAGGGGGCATGGGAGTCAAGGCGCCAAGGGCGTCTAAACGCGATGCTGGACACCGGTGGTCTGACCCCGGCGCCACTGCCAGGTCGGGTCCATCGAGGCTCGGTGGCCCTCCCCTGAAACACGTGGGGTCGCCTCTGCCAGACCCGAGAGAAATAAATCAGAGGCCGGAGGGCTGCGACCTTGAGCGGCTGCCTCCGGGGCCCCGCGTACGCCGATGCCTCTCACCAGTGGTCGGCACCTCCCGATACCAGGCGCGGTAGAGCTCGCGCACCCTCCGCTTGGCCTCCTTCATGTCCCGACTGAAAATGGGCTTCACCGAGGTGCTGGCGGCAGCAGCCGCCCGGCGGACGCCGCTCGCCGCCATCTTGCTAAGGAAACCACTTCCCAAACCCGCCCCCTTCCAACCCAAATAGTGCGGACGAAGGACGAAAGTCTTTGCTTATTGGCTAACGTGGAAGGCCACGCCCCTAAATCCTACGGGTGGGCGGGAGCGCGGTTTTCGGGCTCTCTGAGTGGTCGGGAGGCCTGTCTCTCTGGGTGGAAGAAAATCGGTTGGTGGCTGTTCACGCTCATCAGCAGAAACGCAAACTTGTCGGCTGGAGGTCCTAACGGTCGCCCGGCGGCGCCGCCAGGGGGCACTCGCCTCCCGGCCTGGCCGCCGAGCCGAGAGCTGGTTCCCGGCCGCGGTGCCGAGAGCCGGCGCCCGGCCGCGAGCTGCCTGGGCTCCTGGCGACGCGTCGGGGACGCGCGGCCGGCGCGCCGCCTCGCCGCTCCCTGCGCCGGCTCCCGCGGGCCGCGGGCTCCTGGCTGGCGGCTGAGGCAGATAATGGCGCCGGCTTGGCCCTCCTGTGGCTTTTCTGCAACTTTCCCCCATAAATCCGCTCTGCGATGGAGACGTGAAAGCGCTCTCCTGGTGAAGTGTTTCTAGACGCTTCTCCTCAGCCCGGGGAGGTAGGTTATAGTTTCAGCCCCCCTTTCCACACGGACATTTGCGGATTTCCGTGAAAAACAGCCCAGCATTTTGGAGCTGAGGAGCCTTGGACTGTCCCTTCTGGGTCTCTCTCTTCTCTGGCATTTTCCTGCCAGTTCACTCTGAGTGTGACAGGACCGCGGGGCCTTCGTTAGCCTCCTGGGTCAGCAGGTGCAGTGAGCGCCCCCATTTCACAGGTGAGGAGACTGAGGCGGCTTTAGGGCTCCCACCCCCGCGCCTCCTGGGCTTCAGGCTCAGGTTCCGTGTGAAGGTCGTCACAGGAGCCGGGGCTGAGCTGAGCTCTGGGCCCCGGACCAGCAGGGGCATGGCCCTGCGTCCAGCCCACTCTCTAATTTTGAAGGGTTAAAGGTGTGGATATTATTCTCCTTTTATTTTAAAATGTATTTGTACATTTATTTTTTTAATTTTTTTTAAATATATATTTTCTTGATTTTTTTACAGAGAGAAAGGGAGAGGGATAGAAACATCAATGCGAGAGAAACATGGATCAGCTGCCTCCTGCACACCCCCTACTGGGGATGTGCCTGCAACCAAGGTACATGCCCTTGACCAGAATCGAACCCAGGACCCTTCAGTCTGCAGACTATCCACTGAACAAAACCAGTTAGGGCTGTATTTGTATATTTGAATGAGCTATACAAAAGAAAGCATGTAACATATAAATGATAAAGCATGATAATAAAACTTCTGAATCCCAGTACCCAACTTAAGAATTGGTAACAATCAAGGTGTCTATAAAGTACACTATATGTGGGTAACCACTCTTTTAAGTTCTCCAGGCACATTAAGCCTCGCTTAAACCTCACAACACACCTGTGAGGTAAGTGTTGTTGAACCCACTTTACAGATAAGAAAACTGAGACACAGACTAAGTTACTTAACAGCTTTGGGTTGAGACCTAGGTGGTAGCTCCAGAGTGTGTGCTCTACCTCATAGCACCTGTAGGACACCTGCCTGTGTAACTTAGTCCATGCTCCTGCCTCCTCTAGGTGTAAACACTGTCAAATCCAATGTTAATATTCCTTTTCATTAAAATAATAAAGGGCTTCTCAAACCACACACTGGGGAAAATATTTGTAAGTCCTAAGGGAGTTGTATCTAGATTTTGTAAAAGGCTCTTTCAACTCAATAATAAAAAAAACAAATAGATCAATTAAAAATGAGCAAAGGTGCTTGGCCAGTGTTGCTTGGTGGTTGAGCATTGACCATGAACCAGGAGGTCATAGTTCCATTCCCGGTCAGGATACATACAAGAAGCAACCGATGAATGCATAAGTAATTGGAACAACAAATCAATGTTTCTCTTGCTCACTCGCTCTTAAAAACACACACACATACACACACACACACACACACACACACACACAAATGAGCAAAGGTGACACCAGATGCTGATGAGGCTGTGAGGTAGCAGGAACTCTCATTTATTGCTGGTGGGAATGCAAAATCATACAGCCACTTTGGAAGACAGTCTGGCAGTTTCTTACAAAGCTAAACATACTTTTTTTTTTATTATGAAATACGTTTTTACTGATTTCAGAGGGGAAAGGAGAGGGAGAGACCGGAACATCAATGATGAGAGAGAATCATTGATTGGCTGCCTCCCTCACGCTCCACACTAGAGATCAAGTCCACAGTCTTGACTTCTTGGTTCCCAAGTCGGTGCTCAACCACTGAGCCATGCCGCGGGGGGAAACTAAACATACTCTGAACATATGATCCAGCAATCAGACTCCTCGGTATTAGGTCCACAGGAAATCTGCACATGGATGTTTATATTCATAATTTCCAGAACTTGGAAGCAACCAAGAAGTCCTTTTAGGAGGCGACTGAATAAATAAACAGTGGCATGTGCAGACATTAAGTTATTCTTCAGTGCTGGGAAGAAATGAGCTATCCAGCCATGAAAAGACACGAAGGAAACTTAAACGGATATACCTAAGGAAAGAAGCAATTCTGAAAAGGCGACATACTGTGTGGTTCCAGCGAAATGACTTTCTGATAAAGGCAAAACTGAGGAGACAGTGAAAAGATGGTTGGCTGCCAGAGGCTGGGAGGAGAAAGGTGCAGCACAGAGGGTTTTTAGGGCAGTGAAACCATTCTGTATGACGCTGTGGTGGGGGGTAATGCCGTTATCCATGCTCAGACCCCTAGAGTGAACCCTAATGCAAATTATGGGCTTTGGGTGACCATGATGTGTCAGTGTAGGTTCATTGTAACAATGTGTCACTGCCAAGGGACGTTGATAGTGGGGAGGCTGTGAGTGTGTGTATGCTGGGGGTGGAGTCGGGTATATGGAAGTCAAAATTAACTATAAAAAGTATTATTTTATTTTATTTGTTTTTTAAAAATATACAAATGATCAACAAGTATGTGAAAAGACAATATCATTAATCACTAGGTAAATGCAAGTCAAAACCATGATACCACTCACCCACTCGAATGCCTAGAATAAAAAAGAAGAAAATAGCCCAAACTGGTTTGGCTCAGTGGATAGAGCGTCGGCTTGTGGACTGAAAGGTCCCAGGTTCGATTCCAGTCAAGGGCATGTACCTTGGTTGCGGGCACATCCCCAGTAGAGGGTGTGCAAGAGGCAGCTGATCGATGACTCTCTCTCAGCGATGTTTCTAACTCTCTATCCCTCTCTCTTCCTCTCTGTGAAAAATCAAAGAAAATAGTGTTATCGAGGATATGGAGAAATTGGAACCTTCATACATTTTTATTTTTTTATTTTTTATTGATTTTTTACAGAGAGGGAGAGAGATAGAGAGCCAGAAACGTTGATGAGAGAGAAACATCGATCAGCCGCCTCCCGCTCACCCCCACGGGGGATGTGCCGGCAACCAAGGTACATGCCCTTGACCGGAATGGAACCTGGGACCTTTCAGTCCGCAGACGGACGCTCTACCACTGAGCCAAACCATCTTTGGCGGAACCCTCATACATTGCTGGTGAGAATATGAAACGGTGCCACCACTTTGGATAACAGTCAGGCAGTTTCTTAAAAAGTTAAACATTGACTTTTTATATGATCCAGAAATTACAATTCTAGGTATCTACCTAGGAAAAATAAAAACATGTGTCCACACAGATACTTTTATATGAATGTTCATAGCAGCATTATTCATGATAGCCCAAAATAGAAACAACACAAAAGTCCATCAACTGGATGGACAAGGGAAAAAGGGTATAAACGAAATATGGCACATTCATACCATGGAATATTCTTCAGCCACAATGAACCTTGACGACATGCTAAGTGAAAGGAGCTAGACACAGCACATATCAGATAATTCCACTTGCGTGGAGGGTTCAGAATTGGCAAATGTATACAAGCAGGAAGTAAACTATAGTTGTCAAGTGTGAGGTGGAAATAAGGAGTGAATGTAGCATGAAGTTTCTATTTAGGCCGATGGAAATGCTCTAAAATTAGTGTGTGATGCTAGTGCACAACTTTGTAAATATGCTAAAATTCACTGACTTACACACTCAAATGGGTGAAGGATAAATTTTATGGTATGTAAATTATATCTCAATAATGCCATAGGAAAAATGATCTCTGATGGTTTTCCAAATGTGTAAAATCCAGTATATTTTAATGATACCTTCTTACTTTCATCACCTTCACCTTAAAAAAGAAAAATGCCCTATTTGGCCTTAGTAGGTTTGGATAGAGCGTGTTGACCTTTGAACCAAAGGGTCTCAGGTTCGATTCCGGTAAAGGGCACACACCTCCACTGCGGCTCCTCCCCCAGCCTGGGCCCTGGTCAGGGTTCTTGCAGGGGCAACCAGTTCATGTGTTTCTCTCAATCGATACTTCTCTCTGTCTTTCCCTCTCTCTTCCACTCTCTCTAAAAATCAGTTGAAAAATATTCTTGGGTGAGGATTTCCCCCATTCTGTAGCTTGTTTTTCAATCTTTTCAATAAGGTCTTTCACAAAAAAATTTTGATGAAAGCCGATTTATCCATTTTTTTTCCTTTTATGGATTGTGCTATTGATGTCAAATTTAGGAACCTATAATTAAGAAGAAAACTTATTATATTTAAGTATGTGACCCATTTTTAGTTAATTTTTGTATAAGATATTAGATTTAGGTCAAGTTTCTTCTCTTTTCATTTTTCTTCTTTCTCTTTTCTTCTCTTTCCTCCTCCTCCTTCTTCTTTGTCTTTGTCTTCTTCTTCATCATATATATATATATATATATATATATATTTTTTTTTTTTTAATTGATTTTCCACAGAGAGGAAGGGAGAGGGATAGAGAGCTAGAAACATCGATGAGAGAGAAACATCGACCAGCCGCCTCCCGCACACCCCCCCACCTGGGATATGCCTGCAACCAATGCACATGCCCCTGACCAGAATCGAACCTG